TGCTTCTTGGCCACATGTATGTCTTCTTTTGAAAAGTGTTCATGTCCTTTGTCTACTTTTTAATGGGCTGTTTTTTTCTTGTAAATTTGTTTAAGTTCCTTATAGATGTTGGATATTAGACCTTTGTCAGATGAATAGTTTGTAAATACTTTTCCCATAATTTATTTTGCTGTGCAGAGAAGCTCTTCAGTTTAATTGGATCCCATTTGTCAATTTTTGCTTTTGTTGTGGTTGCTTTTGGCCATTTCGTCATGGAATCTTTGCCCATTCCTATGTCCAGAATGGTATTGGCTAGTTTGCCTTCCAGGGTTTTTATAGTTTTGGGTTTTACATTTAAATCTTTAATCCGCCTGAGTTGATTTTTGAATATGGTGTAAGGAAGGGATCCAGTTTCAATCTTCTGCATATGGCTAGCCAGTTATCCCAGCACCATTTATTGAATAGGAAGTCTTTTCCCCACTGCTTGTTTTGTCAGTTTTGTCAGGGATTGGATGGTTGTAGATGTGTAGCTTTATTTCTGGGTTCTCTGTTCTATTCCATTCATCTATGTGTCTGTTTTTGTACCAGTACCATGCTGTTTTGGTTACTGTAGTCCTGTAGTATAGTTTGAAGTTGAGTAATGTCATATCCTCCAGCTTGGTTATTTTTGCTTAGGATTGCCTTAGCTATTTGGGCTCTTTTTTGATTCCATATCAATTTTTAAGTAATCTTTTCTAGTTCTGTGAAGAACATCATTTGTAGTTTGATAGGAATCACATTGAATCTGTAAATTGCTTTGGACAATATGACCATTTTAATGATATTGATTCTTCCTATCTATGAGCATGGTATGTTTTTCTGTGTCTTGTAATTTTCATTGTAGAGATCTTTCACCTCCCTGATAAGCTGTATTCCTAGGTATTTTATCCTTTTGTGGCAATTGTGAATGGGATTGCATTCTTGATTTGGCTCTCGGCCTGGCTGTTCTTGGTTTATAGGAATGCTAGTGATTTGTATACACTGATTTTGTATTCTGAAACTTGCTGAAGTTGTTTATCAGCTGAAGGAGCTTTTGGGCTGAGACTATGGGATTTTCTTGATATAGAATCATGTCATCCACAAACATGGGTAGTTTGACTTCTCTTCCTATTTAGATGCCCTTTATTTATGTCTCTTGCCTGACTGCTTTGAGTCCTGGCCGTTTTGGGTTGATTGTTAAAGGGGCTATTGTTTGGCTTTCTGGCTTAAGATAGCAATCTGACTTCCTGTTAGTCTGACTTACAGCAGGCTGGCTTACTATTTATTGATTACCAGTTGGTTTCCTGAGCAGGTTGCTGCAGGTTGCAGGTCAGGATTCTATTTTCATATATGCTCTGGCCATAGTCCACTTGTATATTCAGTTTCTTTTAACAAAATGCACATTTTCTAGAGAAACTGCTCTTCGCTACTATAGCCGAGTATGATGGGCATAAGAAAACTTGGGCTACATCTTGCTCCAGCTACTCAGATGACAGATGTCTGTAAAGATCCTTTGTAAATTCTAATATGCTCTACAATTTTACAGTATTATCACTATTGGGAAAGCAGCACAATGTTTGTTTTCCTCCCAGATTTACCACCAAATCACAGTGGCTCTACTAGCTGTGTGAATGTGGGCAAGCTACTTAAACTTCTGAGCCTCAATTTTCTTCATTCGTAAGATCAGATTAATAATACCTGTGTCGAAGTTGTTTTTGTTTTTTGATTTTTACTTTTTCTTATGGAAAACTTCAAACATACAAAAGTGGAGTGACTATGTCTTAGTCTGTTTGTGTTGCTATAAGAGAATACCTGAGGGCAGGTTATTTATGAAGGAAAGAGGTTTATTTGGCTCACAGTTCTACAGGCTGTATAAGAAGCATGGTGCTGGGACCTGTTTGGCTTCTGGTGTGGGCCTCATGCTGCTTCCACCCATGGTGGAAGGCAAAGAGGAGCCAACATGCAGAGATCACATGGTGAAAGCAAGGGAAGCAGGGTGTGGGGAGGTGCCAGACACTTTGAAACAATCAGCTCTCATGGGAACTAATTGAGAATTCACTCATTACCATGATGACAATGACAGCACCAAGACATTCATGAGGGATCCGCCCCCATGACCTAAATACTTCCCACTAGACCCCACCTCCAACATAGGGGATCAAATTTCAGTGTGAGGTTTGGAGGGTCAAATATACAAACTATAGCAGACTAGAAGAAGGACCCCTTATTTATCTATTATCCTGTTTAGTAATTATCAAATTATGGCCAATCTTGTTTCATTTGTGCCTGTATCCGCTTACCCTGCCTGACTATCTTGAAATTTTAGATATTAAGTTATTTCATCTATAAACTTTTCAGTTTGGATTTCTAAAAGATGTCTTAAAAAGTATTTGGTTTATTCTTATTGCCTATTTACCTTCCTATTTACACATCCAAATAGAATGAAAGTTAATTCTATGGAATTAATGCACCAAGTAATATTCAGAATACTAGTAGATACATCATTCATTCTCTGTAACTCTAGCACTTTCATTTACTTTAAAGATACTTTTTTTTTTTTTTGTAACCAGAAACATGTATACTTTATTGAATGCCATTGTAGAAAAGTGTGTGAGGATAAAGGGCTGATACAGGACTCGGCTCCGGGGGCAGGACCAGGAATGGAAGGTGGAGCACGTGGGATACAGGTTATAGGCAGAGCTCCTGGCCTGAATGATGTCTCCTGATCTATCGATGGGCTTGGTAGATCAATACTGGGATGACAATGAGCAGAATGGTCATGAGGATGCCCAAAATCAGGGCCCAGATGTTCAGGCACTTGGCGGTGGAGGCATAGGCCTGGGCCCCAATCAGGTCGCCAACTATCTTCCTGTCCCTAGACTTCACGGAGTAGGTGAATGCTATGAAGCCCAGGCAGCAGGGGTTCATGAAGAGGGTGTTGAACAGGGACCAGACAACATGGTCGGGCACGGAGGTCTCGCTGCGGATGTGGATCACGGTGGACGTCAGGGGAGCAGGGTTGTGGGGCGCCCCCAGCACAGCCACCTTGTGCTCTTCCTTGAGCATCTCATAGCTGGGGGGCTGGCCGCTGTTGACAGGAGAGAAGACGGTTTGGACCGTGCGGTTCATGGTGTCTTGCGAAGGCCAGCAGTGGTCGGGTTAGTGGGATGATTCTCAGTGGGCCCTCCCTTTCCCTAGTAGTTTCGATTTTTCCTTTAAAGATACTTTTTCATGTCTTGGGTATTTTGCCGGTATCTGTGCACAATCCATTTCTCTTTTTGCTGCTTTCTTTGGTTTCATGTTGCCATCTCTGAGCAACGCTGAGTGTGTTTGTTTTGCATGAAGTATTGTCAGAGATAAGGACTGCCGCTTAAAAATATAACCACAATATTTGTATTAATTATTCATTGCTGTACAACAAATTATACCCAAAACTTAGAGGCTTCAAACAGCAATCCTTTATCATCTCTTATGGTTTCTATGGGTCAGGAATTCAGGGGGCATGATTGGGTGGTTAATGCATGGTGTCTCATGAGTGTGCTAGGTCTGCAGTTATCTGAAGGTTCGACAGTGGCTGGAGGATCCACTTCTGAGATAACTCTCACATGCCTGGTGAATTGGTTTTTCCATACGGGCCCCTCTATGGCCTGCTTAAGAGTTCTCACAGCATGGTGGCTGACTTTCCCAAGAGGGAGCAGCATGAGAGACTAGGGTGGAAGTTGCATGCCTTTTATGACCTAGCCTCTGAAATCACGTGCCATCACTTCTGCTATATTTTATTGATCACACAGGCCAGTCCTGATTCAGCGTGGGAAGGGACTACATAAGGGCATGAATTCCAGGAGCCATCATGAAGGTTGGCTATGGCAATGCCATTATCACATCTCAAAAAATAAATTGAAGAATTATATCCTAATAGTATCGCTGTCCATATATTCTAAATTGTTTGCTTCAATCAGGATCCAAGTAAGTTCCACATATTATAATTTGTCATTATGTCTCTTAAATCCCTTTTGATCCATAGATTCTCCTTTCCTTCCTTCCTTTTATATTTATGTAATTTATTTGTGAAACTCATGGAGGTTTTTGATGAGGAGCAACTGAGGTGATGTAGATAAAAACCTACCATGATGCAGGCTTGCTGCTGCCCCACATGCTGACTTCACATTAATTAGAGACAGGCTCCCCTTCCTTCAGAGAGGACATTATTGCATAACCTGAACAATCTATGTATGATCCTTGATGGGACGTGCTGGCTCTGGGATGTGATAAGTAGCACCCAGCTTAACTTCACCGGAGAGGTGGTTCAATAATTCAAACTTTTAAAGCCAGTAGTCAGAGCACAAGAGTCCCATTAGAATCAGGAGAAGCTGCTGCTGCTGCAAAGACGAATCTTCTTGCTTTGTCCCAGCTCTTCTCAGGAAAGCTTTCAGGAAGTCTGAAGACGGCAGCCCAAACTGCGGCCATCCAAACACCCACACTTCCACCTGCTCACATGTTCCACGTCCCAGGCATGCAGGCTACTGACAGCTGGCATGCTCCACCTCTGGCTGTACTCCCCAGATGAGCCTGCGGTGTCCACTTGGGAGCTGGGTTAGTTAGGAATCTGATTACTAGGATTTCTTTCAGCTATGTAAGAAATTGGGCTTCCAAGAGTGGTAGACAGACAAAAGTGGCCTCTGATGATGCCAGGACATTGGCAGCAGGACAGGGCACAGTAGAGCACATACAAATGGGTACCAGTGATGGTTGTCTGTGTGTGCTTTTCTGAGTGTGGGCCAGAGCCTATTTATGCAGGAGGGAGATCTCTATTGCCCAGAATTTTCTTGGTTGCCCCATCAGTAAGTTTATGTCTATGAAGAGCATGGGGTGTGGTGTGTTGTGCGGTGTACTTATACATGGCAGCACTGCTTGGACTAACTGGTTGTTTTCCTTTTTCATTGGTCTCTTCAAACCAGGATAAAGCCATATTAAACTCCAGCATATGTGTTTCCCTTAAACAGATTCAGAATTCCTGGGCTCCCTGGGTGCATTCTGTCATTCCAGTTGAAAGTTTGCTTCCTTCCAGTCATGTGGCTCTTCATTCTACTCTCCTTGGCTCTCTTTTCAGGTAGGATGGGGGAAGGAACAGCTCCAGCCCTTTAAGCTGTGGCCTTTCCAGAGACTTTGCACTGAAGTCCTCTCCTACTTGGAGTCCCTGCTTATTAACTCGAACCGTCTAAGGAGTGGGATGGGAAAATAAAAGGCGATGAAAATAGGTCTTGTCCATATTAGTTCTTGTTCTTAGCTCAGATAAGAGAGTTTGTGAGGAAATTGAAAAGCTTGACTAAAATGATGACTCTGCACTCACTTTGGCAGCACATATACTAAAATTAGAATGATACAGAGCAGATTAGCATGGCCCTTGTGCAAGGCTGACATGCAAATTCATTATGCATTCCATATTTTTCCCCAGCATCTCCACTGAAATAAAATAAAATAAAATAAAGAGCTCTGCATTTTCTCTTTTAGTTCACCCAGGTTCCCCTTCCCCCTTGTCCCCTCAAAAATATATGTGCACATATATGAGGACGTGACTTTCCCCTTTCCACTCGTGCTTGTTCCCAAAGATGAGACGGGGAACACTGGCCTTTTCCTAGCTCTGTCTGACCTTCAGTTGCGTGGCATTTAGAGTTGCTGAACCTTTCTCTGGGTCAGCATTCATACTTATAAACTGAAGATCATGCTATCTTCCTTGTGGGGTTGTTATGAAAACAAAATGTTATAAAGGAGCTGAGCCTGCATTTTAATAGTCTTTGCTATACATCTGGAAGGCTGAGAGAAGGATGGGCTCTGCTGTCCCATCTTCTCTTCTTGGTCAGACACTTTCCCTCCCATGGTCAAGCTGGACATGGTGTGCACGACTTCCTCATTGTGCAATATCCTGAGATGATAGGGGTGCCTATGTTGGTCTTGTATGGAGGGAACATGAAGTTCTTATCCCCTAAAGACAGAACATGACTTCCTCTGTTTTTAGCCCTGTGCAGCCAGCAGAAGCCTCCAAACCTCACTTTCTTTCTGAGGGTGCTAAGGTGGGTTGGGAGCTAGGGACAGAGGGCCTCCTAACGGTAAGCCTCAGGCTCTTCAAGGACCTCTGTCACGCAGTGGTAGGAGGCCTCCATATTTTACCCACTCTTAAGCCAGGGAAAAAGACTTCTCCAGGGTTGCTTTATCAGTTTACTAGGGCTGTGATAACAGCAACAGCAACAAAACCACAGCCTGGGCAGCTGAAACAATGGACATTTATTTCCTTCTGTTATGAAGGTGGTAAGTTCAAGATCAAGGCGTCTGGCAAGTTTGGTTTCATTCTGAGGCCATCTCTGGGTTTGCAGATGATTGCCTTCTGGCTGTGTCCTCATGGGCCATTCCTCTGTTTATATTGTCAGTGTCTTCATCTCTCCTTTTTATAAGGACATCAGCTGAATTGAATTAAGGACTACCCCAATGACCCTATGTTCACTTAATTATCTCTTTGAAGGCCTTATATCCAAATACAGTCACATTCTGGAGTCACTGGAGGTTAGGATGGAAACATATGAGTTTTGAAGGGGACATAGTTCAGCCCATAACAGTTGCCAATCAAAAAGAGGCAAAAAATCAGCCTCCGATTCTTTAATTAATTATCCTTCAGGAGGGCAGGAGCTGCAATGTTTTGAGAGAACAATGGTGCTTGTGTGTGTGCATGTGTGCGTGTGTGTGTGTTTTCACAGATGCCATGGTCATGGATGAAAAGGTCAAGGAAAGCTTTGTGCTGGACACGGCTTCTGCCATCTGCAACTACAATGCCCGCTACAAGGATCACCCCAAATACTGGTGCCGAGGCTATTTCCGTGACTACTGCAACATCATCGCCTTCTCCCCCAACAGCACCAATCATGTGGCACTGAGGGACACAGGGAACCAGCTCATTGTTACTATGTCCTGCCTGACCAAAGAGGACACGGGCTGGTACTGGTGTGGCATCCAGCGGGACTTTGCCAGGGATGACATGGATTTTACAGAGCTGATTGTAACTGACAACAAAGGAACCCTGGCCAATGACTTTTGGTCTGGAAAAGGTAAGGAGCCTGCCTGGGGTCTGGCTGGATGTGACCCACGGCCATGGGTGTTTGCTGCTAAGAGAGCACCCTCTGAAGCCAGTGAGCCCCAACTCAGACTCCCACTGGGTACTTTGGGCCTGCCTGGCCTCTCTCTTCCACCAGCAAACATAGGGTGGTCATTAGCAGTGCTGGCGAATAGTGGAAGTTGGGGACGAGGAGGGTGTCTGTGCCCTGGGGCACTTTTAGAACTTCTCTTCCCTTGCAGCAATCTGGTTTAAGGACCTTAGAAGAGGGCTGACAGGGTCTAATAGATGTGAGATCTTTGTGTTGAAAGGCTTTGAAGTTGTTATTAACTTCTGTGTGAGAATCGCTTGAACCAGGTGGCAGAGGTTGCAATGAGATGAGATTGTGCCGCTGCACTCCAGCCTGGGCGATAGAGTGAGAGTCAGTCTCCAAAAAAAAAAAAAAAAAAAAAAAGAAGATGTCTGTGTGCCTTTTGGGTCTAGAATCTTGAAGATTAGTTTCTTGAGAGGTGTCTGAGGCTGCAAAAAATGACCCAGGTGCCTGCTAACTGTCAGCTTAAATAATTTAATAATATACGGAGGTAGCCAGATGCCGTGGCTCACTCCTATAATCCCAGCGCTTTGGAAGGCTGAGGCTGGTGGATTGCTAGAGCCCAGGAGTTTAAGACCACCCTGGGCAACATGGAGAAAGCCGGTCTCTACAAAAAATACAAAAATTAGCTGGATGTGGTGGTGCCTGCCTGTAGTCCCAGCTACTCGGGAGGCTGAGATGGGAGGGTCATCTGAGTCCAGGGAGGTTGAGGCAGCAGTGAGCCATGATTGCACCACTGCACTTCAGCCAGGACGACAGAATGAGACCCTGTCTCAAAAAATAATAATAATAATTTACAGATATAAATATCCAACTAGTGGTCCAGCTAGTAAGCACCCTCTTTTGCTTTTAAGGAATGTGCAGTTTATATTTGGAGACCGCTGAGAAGGTATGGGTGGAACTGGAACCCACAGCAGAAAAGTCTGAGTTAACCAACAGTGACTCTTGGCTGGAGCTAAGACTTAGGATTTCCAGACATTCATTCAGGTTCCTTCTGCTGAATGATGAAAACCTCCTTCTGCACTAGAAAACCTCTGTCTCCCAGACAGAGGACTTACGGAAGGCACTAGCCTTTCTTTCTTCTTCTTTTTTTTTTTCCTTTCCCCTGTGCCTTCTCCTTGTTTCCATTTCTAGGAAGGATGTCCTTTTCTATTACAGTCCAGAGCACAATGCTGGTAGGAAAACAAACCAGAAGGGCTTAAGGGGTACCCTGGGAAACCTAGCCCCATGCTAGAAAGAGAGTTTTGCTAACACTTGACCAACTAGTGATTGATTCAGCAAGCATCTTATGGAATGTAATATCATTCACACCCACAGTGTTTCTACTTTGTGTGGTTCTCCTTTTACTTAACTGTGCATCTTGACCTGAATCTTAGGCTCAGACAAGAGAATGTTCCCACCTGAACGTACTCCTTAGTTTAAATGAAACACAGACTTCTCCCACATCTTATCAGAGGGGGCATCGTAGGTGGTCGTGGTGCCACTGCTCCCATTGGGTTTTGGTGGCTGTCATAAGAAAAACATGGCAATTACATCACCAAATGAGCAATTCTTTAAGGATAGGATTGGCCCTCTGGTGCCTCTGCATCCCCTTCTATGGGGAAGAGACCTCTGTGGGACTCTAACCATGGGCCACTTCTAGTCCATTTGGGGCCTTTGTTCAAATCTGGAAAAGGGGCCCCTTCCTTCAGGTGCATGGAGCCCAGTGGCAGGGTGCATGGCCTAGCAAGCAGAGTGTGGGCTAAATGTTGGTCCCTGATTGTCCCCTCAGCTTTGTTCCCTGTGCCGGGCACATGTATACAACTGTACTTGGTGCCTCTGCTTTACTCTGAAGTCAACCAGGGAACTCACTCTTTGGAGACTGAGAGAATGACAGGCAGAGCTACAGCTGGGAGGCAGAGGCAGGACCTGGCTATGGGCCTCACCTGACTTAGCAAATCCTTTCTGATTCAGACCTATCAGGCAACAAAACCAGAAGCTGCAAGGCTCCCAAAGTTGTTGGTGAGGCTGACCACTCCAGGTGAGTCATAGTCTTGGCAGATGAATGGGCTTGGGGCGGTGGGGTGGAGGTAGGGGCTGGCGTGACAACAGTATGATATGACAGTTGATTTGTACCAGTAACTTTTCTGCTGCACGTTATTTCTCCACCTTAACTGTGTATCCTTAATGTGAGTATTTGGTTTCTTTCCAAAAAAAATATAGTTTAGGACTCTTGGTTGCAAGCAGCAAAAATGTCCTCTAGCTGTTTTAATTAAAAGGGGACATTTATCATAAGGAGAGAGAGGTGCAGGAGCAGGGTTGTGGTCACGCTTGGAAATTGTCAGATGCATCATCACGAATTTACCTCAGTCTCTAATCTGCCTCGAATCTGTGTGTTTCCTTCCTTCTGTCTCTGTATTGCCCTTGTATATTTCTCTTTTTTCCCCTAACAGTCATCCATTTGTGGTTCCTGAGTTTATTTCTCCCCCATTCAAGAAACTGGCAAGTCTGAGACTGGATTCTCCTATTCCCAATCCACAGTTAATTTCTGAGGAAGGGATTCATTGGCCCAGCTTAGTCAGATGCCCAGCAGGTCCCATTGAGTGTGGTCCAAAGGACAGGGTCACTCTAAAGGAATACAGTTGCCAGAAGCTACTGTAACTGGGTTGGGTGGGGGCAGGGGTGCAAATCCCAGAAAAAGGGATCTAGAGCTAAGAACCAATAGGCAGTTTCTTCCAAGGAACATGAAATCTGCTGTGGTTCCTTCTAGGACGTCCATTCTCATCATTTGCATACTGATCACGGGTTTGGGAATCATCTCTATAATCAGTCATTTGACCAAAAGGAGGAGAAGTCAAAGGAATAGAAGGGGTAAGTAGTTATTGTTGGGGGAGGGGGTGGGCAAGAATTAGAGAAAATGAAAGAGGTCAAGGAGCAGCTTTCAAATGAGTGAATGAGAGCTCTTCATATTGTCTGGTCACCTATAGACCAATGTAGCCAGCCATGGGCTGGGGTAGATATCTGCTGGATGGTGACGAGGCATCATGAGAAGTGACAGAGGGAGCATTGCAGCTTTCTTAAGTGGATACACGTGTAGATCAGGAAGGAAGGAGATCCTGAGACAACTACCTCACAGGTTCCCATCTGCAGAGCCACCTACCTCCCCAGCACACACACTTTGGGCTCCTGGCACAGGAATGAGCTTCTGGGACCCATGGGTAAGCAGGTATAGAAGAGTCTCCTTTTTCATATACACAGGGTGTTGCCCTGTTGCCCAGGCTGGATTGCAGAAGTGTGATCATAGCTCACTGCAGCCTCATGCTCCTAGCCTTGAGTCATCCTTTCACCTCAACCTCTCAAATAGCTGGGCCCACAGGTGCCTGCCACCGTGTCTGGCCAATTTTAACTTTTTTTTTTTTTTTTTTTTGAGACATTGTCAAGCTCTGTTTCCCAGGCTGGAGTACAGCCTGATCTCAGCTTGATCTCAGCTCACTACAACCTTCACCTCCCAGGTTCAAGTGATTCTCCTGCCTCAAGCCTGATCTTTAGCTCACCCCATTCCTAAATAGAGAAGGGACTGTGTGCCCACCTTTCCCTTTGGGGCAGCACCAGAGACATGACTGGTCAGTAAGACAAGGCTGGTCTTACCGTTTAGAGAATCCTCCAGACCAACATGTGGCAAACATGCCAACCTCTGAAGTGTACACAGAGCAGAAAGAACATTGCACAGTTGCCACTGTTTGGCTAATAGTAGTTTTACAGTTTTCTTTTTATTCTCAGAAACCACAGGAACACCTTAGGCAATGAAGAGCCTGTAGGCATAATTATAAAACAGACTGCAACCACCCGTGGGTATGGAAATGTAGAAGAAAAACATTTCAGAAAAAAAGAGAAAAACACTCCTAGTAACCCTTGCTAGTGACACACCAGGATCCATAGCCAGAAGAATCTGAAATGCAAAGCAAAGGCTGCAAGGCCTCATACTTTCCCTGTGATATTTTGTTCCTGTGGTCAGAATAGGAGCCCTAAAGAAAGGAAAGTAGCGGCTCCCATAGCGTTCTTGACCTTTTGTCCTCTAGCAGCTTTGGGAACTGCGAAGGTGGGGCATGTGGACAAGACAATGCCTTTCTCAGGTCTGCCCAAGACCATTCCCTTTGGGACACAGTTGTAGTCTAGGTTTTTGCTAAAACCATTATCACTTTTTTAAGGTGTGACCTTGGGCAACTTTATACTTTTCTGGGTCTGTTTTCTTTTCTAGAAATTGAGGGTCTCATTCTCATACCCCCCAATATTTTTATTTATTAGTTCAACAAAAAATGACCATGCTAGCTAGATGCTGAGGATACAAAGATGGGCAGAACAAATGCTATTTGTGTCCATGGAACTTGTAGAGGGGGAGGAAGACAAACTATCACACATCAACACCCAAATGTAACATTGCCACCTGGAGTTAGTGCTCTGAAGGAAAGGCACATGATACTATGAAAGATGAGGCCATAGAACTCAATGCTATTCCTTTTTAGCAAGAAGTTGTACAGCCTATTGTAGCCATGGCCTGCTTCCTCAAACTCAGGCAGTTGAAATGTGGCAGCCTGAACCAAGGCTCCTAGCTTTGACATTCTTGGGTTCTGAAGAAGTTCAGTTGTGTTCACATCACCAAAACTTGGTGAGAGGTGATTGCAATCTCTGTGTACCAAGCCTTCCTATTGACTTTCCTACTGATGAGCTTTGCAGTAATGATATCTGATCTCGGCCCTGAAAATAAACTTGTGTCTAGTCCCCATAAAAGCCCCATGATAGAGTTTGGAACTTTTGCTGCAGAAACACTCTTCAGGGGTAGGCAATAGATCTCAACTCCATTTTCCCTTTCTATTCCCCAACAAAGTAGGCAACTCTTTGAAGCCCTTCTCACGTGTCCTGACTCCAAAGGAAATGGCTCCTACTGAACAGATGTGACTGAAGATTTCTTTTATTTAGTTCATAAATAAAGTGATGCTACAACAGAATAATCACCACGACAAATGGCCCACACCTCAGAGACTGATTCCGATCTCCCAGGAATTCTGAAGGACCCTCTATCCTTGCCAACAATCATTTGCAGCCAGGTAACAACGGCGGTAGTCAGAGGAGCTATGATGGACCAAACCCGAGCAAGGCTGCACTCAAATAACATCTCAAGATCTTAGTTCTCATGCATTCCATCAGTCAGAGGTGAAGAAGAGGTGGAGAATCTGGATCGGGGGCCAGGAAATCACTTGTATTTTTTTAGCCAATAAATTCCTAGCCAGTGTTGAATGAACTGCAAGGTATGAGTTACTTCTTCTAGGGTATCACTGTAAAAGTATTTCTGGAAACGTTTCTTTCAAAGAATAATATTCTAACTCATTTCTGAATTGGTATCAAATGCTGCCCAACCCAAAGAAAGGGAGATAGACTAAATCAGTGGTTCTCAGATTCTCTTGGTGAAAAGGCCATTCTTCTCATCCTTTATGGGAAACTGCCACCTGACTAAAGGGATGCTGCTTTTGATCAATGAGAAACCAAGGTGTGATAGCTTAAGTGAAATAGTCATTCAAATCGGGAAAAACAAATCAAGAACAAGATATCAGCAGCCATGGGTGCGAATGAGGTTATATTGCCATTCATGCCAGGATCACCAACACTCTTAGCTCCCACCCGCATATCCACACCCTCTCTCCCCATATAGGGCCTCTCCTGCTATTTCTGGGAGTTTCCAGGGCCTCCCCATCACTGTCTGTGCTGCCGTCATCACAAGCCTGCTTTTCACCGTGCCGTGATCTCTTCTAATGGGCATGCTGGCCAGCCCCAGTCCTCAGGGTACTCAAGTGGCCTTCTGGTCTGAGCAGAGTCGGAACAGAGAGGTTGTTTGTTGATATGATTCTACACATGTCCTGCGTGTTTAGATCCAGACTCCCACAAAATCTTTCATGAACACACTTCCTTCAGCTTCCACCCTAACTCCTCTCCCCAAAGGTAGGGAATTCACAGCTACTCAACGTCCTGATGGGAAGAGATGAGGGTGTGGATACCCCACCTCTGTGTTTCTGAACAACCCACGTTCCTGCCAGAGGCTCAGATCAAACAACATCAAAAGTGCTCTCTTTTCCCTTAGCCACAAAACAGCCCCAATTCTTCCCCTATGGCCCTGTATTGATTTTAAACAAACGGGGTCATTAACTCATCAGTTCTGCAAATAGCAATCCATTTTGGGTTTGGTTAGGACATTCCATTCTACAAGGCAAGATAGCAGACATAGATCTTCCACAGCAGATGAAGACATCTATAGATGTCTTGGAAGATTTACACTCACGATGTCTGGAAAACTATTTTCCTATAGATTTGTTCTGATTCCATGATCCAGGATTCAAGAGCCTGCTCTTACCTAGCAAAGATCTTTGAATCTGGGGTCAATCATTTAATTACTCATTTTATCCTCCATCAAGGCTGGCTGCATAGTGTGAAGACAAAAAAACAAGACTCTGTTTAGGGCTATACCGTTTAAAAAAAAATGGGCAGCTTCAGGAAAACAGGAAAGGGCAATTAATTTGATATTTCTTATACAAGTAGATGCCATGTGATAGTGCTTACTCTACTCTTGCCGTTATGTTTAAAAGGTGCTGGCCCTGAACTGGAAAGCTGATATGGCCTCTAGCTTCAGGGATGGCAGGATTGTTTGATGTCAGCCCCGAGTTTGGGAACAGTTGAAAGCTCAAGAGGCCTCCCTGTGTGCACTTCCTAAGATCAGCTAACGGGAGAAGGCCGTTCCTGGGTCTCTGCTGCCCTCGTGGGGCTGGCTGCCCTGGTGGTGCTGTGGTCGCCTCACTGAACTATCTCCCTTAAACCCGTCTTTCTTCTAGACCTGTTCACTCCCACAGACAGACTACTTCTTTTTTAAATTAAACTCTCTTCCACTGGCTTCTCCCTCAAAATCCAGCTTCCAGCAGCAGCTGCTGTCTCTCAGAAAGAACATGCTCTCTGGATCACGTCACTTGACTCTTTGCCTTTCTCATCTCCTTGCCACCGCAAGTGCTGTGGGGCAGCTTGGTGTGGAGGCCAGATGCAAAGAATTTGAAGCCAGAGGACTTGATTTAAATTTTTGTTCTGCCATTTATTTTTAGCCAGGTGTCATTGAATAAATTATTTCATCTCCTTGGACTTCAATTTTCTTAACTTGATTTTGCAATTATTATTATTATTATTATTATTATTATTAAGACAGAGTCTCATTCTGCCACCTGGGCTGGAGTACAGTGGTGTAATCTTGGCTCACTGCAGCCTCAACCTCCTGGGCTCAAGTAAGCCTCCCACCTCACCACCCCAAGCAGCTGGGCCCACAGGCGTGCACCACCATGCCTGGCTGATTATTCTGTTTTTTGTAAAGATGGGGTCTCCCTATATTGCCCAGACTAGTCTCAAATTTTGGGGCTCAAGCAATCTTTCTGCCTTGGCCTCCCAAAGGGCTAGAATTACAGGCAAGAGCCACCACACCCGGACCCCAAAATATTATTTAATGTATTTTTGAAAGTTCTGTGGTGGGTGCTTCTCTCCCACTCCTGCTTCCTTTGGTGTAGACTGAGGTCACACTCCTCGGTGACCACCTATGGGAGGTAGAGGGGGCTGTCTGACATGGGAGACTGGGAATAGGAACTGGGCATACATACTTTCTCTCTTCCTCTTCCTCTTTTACTCTTTTGGGTACAGCTTTGAAAGAGCGTGTGATCTCTTCTGCAGCTCCTTAGGGGCAGGCTGAACAACTGCATTGCTTGTTGGGAGCGGTGGGCTTGCTCTGGTGCAGCTTATAACTCAGTTGTGGGGTTCAGTGTTCTGAACTCCTTTGCAGCTGTAGTATAAGCTCTATTCTCCAATGTTGACCATGTTCATAGTAAAGACGATACTTTGGTTTCTGTCTGCTGAGTCCTCTTATTTATATCTATATATTTAGAGATCCTCAGTCCTACAGGAAGCAATTTCCTCTCCCCAGAGGCCGTCACCAAGACCGTCCATTGTGTTTTCTTCCAGAGATATACTAAATATATAGATACGCATATACTGTACTACACGTGAGTAGAGCATATTCATAATTCTGTTCAACAGTTTGCAGTATACCGTAGGTATCTGTTTTTATTAGAACATACAGAGCTGCCTCATTCTTTTTAATGGCTACATTGCACTGAATGAACCAGTCCCCTCTCTGTGTACAGTGAAGATTTTCTCAATCTTTTGCTGTTTCAGAGAATCGAGCATGATGGATAAACGTGCAAACTCTGGAGCCAGCCCACCCAGGGTTGAGTTCCAGAGCCACTATTTAGCAGCAATGTGAACTTGGGCAAGTTACTTAACCTCTCTGTGCCTCCATTTCTGTATCTACAATTTGTAATAATTGTAACCTCACAGTGTTCTGTGAGGATTCCATGAATACATGCCACTCACTTAGATTTGTACTAAAAGTGTAATAAGCCTCAGTGAGTTCTAGCCAATTTGATTACTGTTGCAATTCAAGTTATGCAGGCAATTTTCCATGTATTTGAGTAGGATAAATCCTTAGAAATAGGATTATTTATAAATTCTTAGAAAAGAATTTAGAATGTTGTTGGCTTTTGCCAAATGATCTTCTGTGGTAGCTGTACCAATGTGCTCTCCCACCAGTAGTGTATGTGTGTCTTGGTTCCCCCCAGTCTTGCCCAGTCTATTAGCAAACTTTTTGAATTTTGCCAGTCTTACTGATGGAAAAAAAATTATCTAATTGTAGTTGTAATCATTATTTACCTTATTATGAGGGAAGTCAAGTATCTTTTCATATATTTGAGCCATTTATATATTCTCTCCTACAAATTGCCCACCCCATCCCTTGTCCTTTCTATTGAGTTGTTCATTTTTTTCCCCTGTTGATTTACAAATGATCTTCCTATGTCTATAAGATGCTTTGAAAGTGTTTTCTAAGCTTGTCATTTGCCTTTTCACATTTTAATGGTACTTTGGACTTTTTAATTGTACTTTAGAAGTCAAGTTAATATTTTCTGGTTTCTGGGCTTTGTGACATACATTCAAAGGGCATGCTCTACAAAAATATTTTTTAAAATTCTCCCATATTTTCTTCTAGTGCTTTTATGCTCTTTTTCCAGTTAAATTTTTTGACATGTCTGGGATTTATTTTCATATGAGAAGTGAAATATGGATCCTACTTTATTTTCATTTACATGGTTGTCTAGTTATCTTAATACCACTTATAGAATAAACCAATTTCTCCCAAATGATTTCATATGCCATCTTCATCATACTCTAAATTTCCTTATGTATTTTGATGTATTTCTGGTCTTTAAATTCTATTCAATTGATTTATTTATTCATGTACCATTAACATATTGCTTTAATTAGTGATGCTTAATAAAACAGGTACTTTTAGTTAGCTGCAAGGGCTAGCCTTCCCATATAACTTTTATTATTTATTTTTATACATTTTTCTGGATTTGCTGTCTTGTTTATGGTTTACGTAGGAAATTCAGAGTAAGCCTGCCCATTGAAAAATAATCTTATTGATATTTTGTTGTTGTTCACCTTTGGGATTCACCTGATGATATTTTTAATGGGATTTTTATATGTGATTATTCATTGGGTTTTTGGGGAAATTAATGTTCAGATTAATCTTTATCTTTGGTTCTCATATAATATTGTTATGTATATCTCTTATGCTATAGGATGGAGGTAGAAATCTCCATTTGCATAGTGCTTTATACAGTAGGGACCTTGTGTTTGTGTAGAGCTCTGGGATGTGTAGAATGCTTATGTATAAGATATTTCATTTAATCCTCATACTAAACATTAGTGGTAAGTGTTATCTCTGTTTTCAAGATGAAAGACTTGAGCCTTGAAAAGTTTAACAAGTTTGCCTAAATGAATGCCACTAGTTGGTGGCATAGTTTGGTAACTGCACCCCAGTCAAATCTGAGCTTGTTTCCAAGTGCCATCACTTTTGGTGGTGTTTTTTGCTGTGAATGAGCTCTGCACTTTTAGTCTTGACCTCTGGAGAAGGTGGCAGGAACAGACAAATAAATAATAAAGACAGAGGCAACACTGTGGGGGGTTTGACTTTATTTGAAATTCTTGGTAGACTGTTCATTTGGTTGACTCCTCCCAAGTTGATTCACGATGCTGGGTGAATATTCTGTGCACTGACCTCCATACCACACACTTTGGAAGGGTCCAAGGAAGGCAGTCTATGCCCCCAAGGGGCTCACAGGCTGTCAGTTCAAGTGGGAGGGCCTTCAATCTTTGCTCTGGCCAGGAAAAGACTGACCATTGGTCTCCAAAGCTGCTGGATAGCATTGCCAGATCACACCTAAACAACTCTGACTGCAGTTTCACACAGGTGGTGATTCAAAATTTGTAAAAAAGGGAAAGTGATGTGTGAAGATGGGGCCGAGATGAGAGGAAATGGATTCAAGCCTCGTTGGAAAAGCCAGGTTAGTTTGTCACTTTAATTTGAGCATAGACAATGGGGTCAAAGTCTGCAGAACGGTTCTCAGCCAAGTGATTGCTCTTATCTTCTGAGAGTTTGAAAGTCATGCTGGCATAGGTAAGTGATTCTCCTGGGATGGATGAAAGCTGCAGAGGGAGAAAAAGGAGGAAGGAGTGAGTTCGGTTTGGAGCAAAAAGGTTGTTCTTTAGAAGCAACCTGAGCACTTTGGTCAAAGAATCACTTGCCCAGTGTCTGGAAATCAATCTCACCATTCTAGTAGATAATTCAGAGTATGGAGGGGAATTCCAATGATGGTAGCCCTTCAGTGTCGCCAAAACAGTGTGGTCATCTTACCTTGGCGGGAGGATCTGAGTGAGGATCCGGGACCCGGGGCTTGGAGTGACCTGCCATGGTGCCAGAAAGAAAAGGGACCCATCTCAGCAATGGGCCTGGGGAAATGGGAAACCTCTCCCTCCGATCTTGGGTGAAGGGTGGGGTGTTGGCAGGTGGGTGGGGGCAGGGCAGAAGAAAAATGAAAGGATTTGAGTCTTCAGTCTGCAGACAGGGTGGGCTAAGCAGGTTTTATCACACTGCACCCTCCCCTATCTCCTCCCGTTACTCACTCATAGCTAATTCTAGTATCAATGGCAGACAGAGAAGGGCTGTCCTATCCCTTGGAGACCACTTACATTTTCTGTAGCTCTTTATGATGAGGAAGATAAAGGCTATCAGCAGCAGCGTCAGTAGAACCCCAGCAAAAAAGGCAAGGATTAAATGGTTTTTGCTGTTTTGGCAGAGAAAGGCAGAGGATGAACTGTTGGGCTTTTGAAGGTCTTTCCTAAAGAGTGAAACCTTTCCTGCCTATGGATGGACTCCTGAAATTGTTTTCACACTGACTAATGAATTTTCACCCAGTGGTTTTCAGCTTTTGCTTTTGAGTTTCACATCCATTTGAGGCTTCAGAGAAAGCTGTGGCCTCTTCTTCTCCCCCTCCTTCAACCCACACAATGTTCATAATTCCCCACCCAGCAAATTTTACCTATAAGCATAGGGGATCCATGGATCTCTTGAAGCTTAGGGGATGCCAAATTAAGAGCCATACTCCTGAGATCACAAACTGACTTTTTTCTTTTACTGTTTCTAGTCCTTTCTCCCCAGTCTCCCTGCCCAAGTCCCTAAGCCAAGGATGTCAACATAACATCAAATCCTATGTGGTACAAGATGAAACAGATGGGAGAATGCTCATTTACTTGTGGTGGTTAGAGAGACACGGTGCAGGGCTAGTTGTTGGGGCTGCTGTGGAGAAAGGGCCTTGTTTTTCTACAAGAAAACATAAAAGGAATTAGTGTATTAGTGTATCTGTCACTTTTCATGATATCCTTCGAGCTTAAATGTCCCCATGTGCCCCATTCTACCCAATCAGCCAGTGGAAATTAAGGATGGACCTGCAACTCTTGCAAAAATGTGAGAATGTTGTTTTTTAGATTCCAAGTACTTTTAAATGAAAATTAGAACTGGAACTTAAAAATCAGCTACATAAATGAAATACAAGCCTAGTGTCCCTTTGATTAAAAAAAAAAATCTCATGTGTTGCCCTCCTCAAAGAGTTTAATAGGAACCCCTGAAGAGATGTGCTCCTTCTGACCTAAGGAAAGTATCTCCCAGCTAGGGAGAAACAACAAATGCTTGCCAAAGTCCTTGGGGAATTTGACCTTAAAACTGCTGTCCTTTTTTGTTTGCTCTTTTTGCAGAGCAGCTATTACCAGTGCATAGCCAAAAACAGCCACAGTGGTTTTCCCAATGCCTACACCACAAATAGGGGAGAATGACCCACCTAGTTTGATATTGAGCAGAGACACTCTGCTCAGATTTGGAGGGCCAGGCAGGTCTCTGTGATTTCCCCCTTTTACCTCTCCTGGCATTAGATTCTGTATCCTGGTAAAATTGGATTCTTCCAGCTTCAGAAATGCACTAGCTAGTGCCTTTCCATTACAGCCCTTCAGCACAATTTCTAGTTATTTTAACTCAGAAGTGAGGCAGGTAATTATTCCTGTCATAAACTCACCAGTGTAGGGTTTAGATGTGGAGCTAATTCCTCCCATGCTGTCATCCCCTGAAAATAAAACAAGGTATCTCTTAGAAAGCTTGGAGAGGAGAGCCAGCTGAAGGGCCAGCTCTGAGACTGTGATTGTCATATAAGAGTAGTAACAATGAGAGGCAATTTGTGGGTGTTCTAGTGCCATCAGTGGTCACAGACCACTCATCAGAGGTCAACAACTCTGGTGTTGTTTCTGCAGCTCAGCAGCCAGCCTTCAGATTTGCAGGTCCAGAAATCTGATCTTATCAGGGCACCAAGAATTGACTGATTTCTCCAGAACTGATTCCCACCAACCAACTCACAGGAGACTAATGTATAAACTGAAATAACATAAGGTACATGTTGGTGCAATCAGTGAATTTTGCCTATCAGGGGAATATATAAGAATGCCAACGAAAATAATAATTTTGCTTGATAAGCACTGAACTGAAGTAAGTATGAGAGAAGATGAATGGATGATTTTTATACTGACTGCCAACTGGGTCTGATGTATCAGTCTTACTCTTCCCTGGCATTGCTACATAAACTTTGACAAACTTGCTCTTGGAGACCCTTACTCTAGACCTCATTAGACACTTCTAATCTGCTCACGTATTATCTTCTCAAGTCTGCCAATAGTCTTGTATAGGCTTTATATCAAAATGTATAAAGCATCTAAAGGCAGAAAAGTGAAATCACCCAAACTCCTACTACTCATTAATATTTTTAGTGTCTTTCCTTTTAGTCAGACTTCCATGCATTTTTTAAAAAGCTAGTTGAGATATTTCTTTTTATAAGAGGTTATATCTTCCTTTTATATTTAGCATTTTTGCCATACACATTCTTCTATGTTACTAAAAACGTTTTATGACATTTTTAGTGGTGATGGGTCTTTCTGCTCTAGCTATGTACTATAACTTGCTTAACAAATTCTCTACTTGATAGAATTGTTTCCATTTTTATTTGAATCAATTACAATGAAACAGATATTTTTGTGCATAAAACATTGTATGCCTCCCTGATTTTTTTTTTTTTTTTTAGGGGGCCAAAATGTTACTTCATATTTAGACAAACTCATGGCAAAATGTTTTGGCTTTGTTATTTCTTCTATATTTTAAGGTCATTTCTTTAAACAAATGTCATCAATTATTTATTGTTGTATTGTTCAGTTCTCATAAGTTAACTTCCAAGTCCTTGGACCTGTGGGAGGGCTGGGAGGACACCTCATCTCCCTATACCTGTTACAGTAGCAGCAACAGCAACATTACCAAGTACCTTACAATTCACCAAACATTTTTAGATCATGCAATGTCAGATAAGAAAGGGGCCAACGGGAAAATATGGTGAGGAGTCTGAGCCATGAGAATAGGAAGCCCACAGTCTTCAGCAGAATCGGCAGTGGTAATTATTCTGACACATTTTGCTCCTTTTCTAACTTGTACATCAATGGTGCTCTTTGCAGACCATCATAATATATTGACATAATATTCTTTAAATATTGACATAATATTTTTAAAATATTGAAATATACGTTAGTGCTAAACAGAATATGAGCTTACACTAGGCTTTGCCACTGGAGAGGTGGAAGAAGATAGGATCATAGGTTTCTGTAAAATCCTGAAATTCACTGCAGCAGTTCTGAATTTACAAAAATGTTACCATAGCCGTTGTGAAAACGTTAGGCCACTCCACCCGAACTTTCACATAAATGGACAAAATCATCACACACAGGGAAATAGTTACTCACAAATCCAGGCCAAGAAAAGCAGGAAATACATTTCCCTTTAAGCACAACCTAAACATTTGGCAGAAGCATAAATTAAAAGAGAAGCGGTGCTATATATACTTTTTCACGTTTCATCCAGCATTGGAGAATCTTACTGACTGCTGTAAAATCCATCAACTAAAGAGAACCATTCAAATACAACCCTTCCCGCACCAAATAAAACAAGTGATAGAAGCCACTAACAATTAGACGACACTTTCTTTTGGTAAGTGATTATTTAATCTAGATTAAGAGCATGTGGTAAATGCATTTACCTCTCAAGAAAAAGTCCGGTCATACGACGCAATCGTCTAAGATTGAGCATTTCACTTGCTTCCGTTACCTCTCCTATGTTTCAGAAATGACGAAATAAAGATTACTGCCCCTGCCACTTCCAGCATCACATTGTATGTCGCAAAGATCCTGTCTGAACTCAAGGGTAGGCTTCCTCTTTGAGGTCAACATTATGATTTTTTCATCTTTCTTTTGTAACTTTTCTTTGTGTCTGACACAGGAATGCCAGAATGTAAGGAGGTAAGACAGGTTTCTTGGTAATTAAATATTTACTAAGTATTTACTTTAACCACTGTGCCAGATTTACTGTGGAGATCACATCACTATGACATTATTATTGCCATCAAAAACCTTATAATCTCATCTATTCTAACCAGGGAGATGAGGCTGATAACAAAAAACGAAGAGCAAACAGTGTTAAGAGTTAAGTACTAGCTGTGCAGACTTCAAATGTGTTAAGAGTATGAGATCCCTTCAAAGGTAAGGCGAATCATTTCTTTATAAATTTTTCTGTAAAATAATATTAATAAATATACTAATTAAGTAAATGCTATAGGCCATACAGTGGGCTGGTGTTATAGGTTTTTTTTTTTTTCTTTTTTTCTTTTTGAGATGGAATTTCATGCGTGTTGCCCAGGCTGGAGTGCAGTGGTGCAACCTCAGCTCACTGCAACCTCCACCTCCTGGGCTCAAGCAATTCTCCTGCCTCAGCCTCCCAAGATTACAGGCATGCGCCACCATGCCCGGCTAATTTTGCATTTTTAGTAGAGATGGGTTTCACCATGTTGGTCAGGCTGGTCTTGAACTCCTGACCTCAGGTGATCTGCCTGCCTCAGTCTCCCAAAGTGCTGGGATAACAGATGTGAGCCACCGTGCCTGACCAGGTTATATGGGTTTAATAACTGACCAGGTTATTATAGGTTTTTTGGAGAGCAAGGCAGAAAAGTTCCTTGCCTCATGGACTCTACCACCTAATTGAGAAGAGAAATGAAAAACAAGGAAATGATAAGTTAATGACACATTGTATTAGGGCCATGAGGGAAAGAAACAGAGTGCTAGCTAGAGAGAATACACTGGGAGAACATCTTTAGAGAAGATGGAGGACTGGGGAAGGCTTCCCTAAGGAGTGGACATTTCCACTTAGAGAACTTGAGGATGAGCAGGAGCTAGCCAGGCACAGAGTCTGAGGAAGAAGTTTTCAGGTGGAGAGAAGAGTAACTCACAGCTGGCAGAGCTGGAAAAATCAGGCAAGGATGTGTGCAGGTAAACCTGGAGCACAGATAGGCTTTGGATGGATGGAGGAAGAAAGGGCTGTGGGAGAGGTGTCCTAGGCCCAGGGTTGGTTGCTGAAATTCAAGTGATGTATTTCTAGGATATTAGCACAGTTCAAGAGTGGAACATTTTGACTGGGTGTGGTGGTTGACGCCTGTAATCCAGCACTTTGGGAGGCTGAGGCAGGGGGATCCTTTGCGCCCAGGAGTTTGAGGCTGCAGTGAGTCACGATCATGCCGTTGCACTTCAGCCTGGGTGACAGGGTGCTTAAATAAATAAATAAATAAATAGGGAGGGGCATTTGGAGAGGGTGGGAGATGAAAAATAGTTGACATAGATGGATTTTAGCCAGATGGTGGGGAGCTTTAAATCCAAGCAAGATATATTTAAAATATTTTTAAAATAAACACGAAATCTTTTTGATTGAGATATAACATGGTAAACATAACCTTTATGACAGATTGTACCATATCATATAAGATAAATTTTGGGTAGAGACAAAGAAACTAGAGGGTATGGGGATATTCTGGGTATTGTGTAGTGAGGGTGTGGGCTGAAACCACAGGGATCATAAAATTGGAGGACATATAACTTGGGACCTGGATATGGGGAATAAAACAGTAGGATGAGTCAATGATTACTTCAAGTTTTTGAACCCCAGTTGCTAAGATAATTCATTTCTTCATTCACTTACTCCAAAACATTTATTGAACATTTACTATGTGCTATGTCCCATTCTAAGCTTTGAGGATATTATGACGAGCATGAGGGTCTGCCTTCATGGAACTTTCACACTAGTAAAGGAGGCCCTTACCACACAAAGAAATGGCAAATTGTGATTGTTAAGTGTGCTGTGAAGGATCAGGACCCTGTGCCATGGATGCCTACAACAGAGGGGAAGAGGACCAGGGAAGCCTTCCTAGAGCCAAAAAATAAAACGACCCAACATTTAAACTGAAATCAGAAATGTGAGTTGGAGTTCCACTAGACCAAGAGGAAGGGAAAGTTTGGAGGGAATAGAACATTTAAAAACCCTGTGCCAGAAGGAGGGTAGGAAGTTGAAGGGAAAAAAAAAAAAAGACTAGTTTGACAAAAACTGAAAGAGGAAGTATGTGAAGTGGCACTGGGGTGTGGGCAGGGGGTGGAGCATGATGAGGATGAGGTTAAATAGGCAGGAAGGGGCCAGTCCCTCACAACTTTTGTCTTTAAGAGAAGTGGGTTTATCTGTACTAAACATATTTAAACAAGGGTGACATGATCAGGCTTGCATTATGGAACAATCACTAAAACTGGAGCAAACAGATTGGAAGTTAACCAGAATAGATACAAATAGACCGGTTGAGAGATTACTGCAGTGATCCAGTTGAGGAGGGTAATAGTAACGTGGACTAGGATGGTAGCAGTAGAGAGATGAAGAGATATACATGGATTTGAGAGATATTTAGGAAAGTGGCAGCAAAAACAATGGGGGATAAAAGATCAGATAATGATCAAAGATACCACCAAAGGGCAAGAAGGGGGAAGAGGAGCCAGAGAAGGAAACAGCGGTAATTCAAGACTTGGAGGGAGGATTAACTAATTAATCAGACATTTACTTAGCACCTACCCAAACACCCTGCCAAGCTCTGGAGGTTCAATAATGAGTAAGACATAGTTCTTGACTTGCGGGATCTGTCTCTTGTAGAGAGAGAGATATGTTCATTCATCTACAAAAGCATGCTCCAGACTGGCCAGTCACATAAATAAGCATAATGAAATATTGTAGATGTGAGACATCTGTACAGGATAGAGTGAGATGCAATGAACAAAGGGGTCAGGCTACACGATAAGGAGGGAGGATAGGTGTCAAGAAAAGCCTCATAGAGGAGATAATGTTTGAGTTGCACCTTGAAAGATGAATAATTTTCTAGGCAGACCGAGGAAGGAAGTGTATTCCAGGTAGAGGGACAGGGTAAACAAGAGCATGCTTTGGGGAAATGCAAGTATCTCAGCATAGGTGGTGCTATGGGGAATGAGGATAGGATAAGGGTGGGGGATGGAAGGGGAAAGGCTGGAGAGGATAGATAAAACCAGGTAATGGCAGGCCCTAAACATACTTTACCCTTATAGGCAATGGAACGACTGCTGAAGAGGAGTAACACAAGCACATTTGGGTTAAGGCAACAGAGTGTAGAGGGGACCAGTGAGGTGCCAAACAGTGGGTGAAGAATCCTTAGGTGTTGTAGAGTTCCAAGTGAGAAATTAGGATGATCTGAATAGAGGCAATGGCCATGGGGAAGAGGTAGAGTAGATAGGTGATGAGTCTAGTCATTTATTAGGTGTGAGAGAAAAGTAAGAGAGAGAGGGGAGGTGGTAATAACTACGTTTCCTGCGTTGTATCCATCAACTAACTTTGAGAATATAAAAGAAGGGGTTATAGGATCGAGAAAAAATAATGAGTTTAATTTTGGACACATTGGATTTTGGGGTGCCAGTGGAACATTCAGGTAAAGATGTTGAGAGAGCAGTTTGATGCACAGATCTGGGGCTCACAAAAGAGATCTAGCACTGTGTGGTAGACAGTACTAGTTCTCACCAACAACCAGTTCTCCTCTCCTTCTTGTGTGGAACCTCCCTTGTCATGCGACAAGTTCTGGCCAATGGGCAGTGAATGAAGTGATGCATGTCCCATTTAGTCAAAACATTTAATTGCTGATGCAAGACCTCCTCTGACCCTCTCCCACAACAATGGAGATTTTATGATGGGAAGGTGAAGGTGAGAGTTCTAACCCTGGATCCTTGAGTCAGCACATGCAGGACAGTTTCTTTGGGGAGTCACTTGGACCTTCAGTAGATTCTATATGAGCAAAAAGTAAACTTTTCCATATTAATCTACTGAGATTTTGGGTCGATCTTTTCTTTCTTTCTTTCTTTCTTTCCTTTTTTTTTTTAAGGCAGGTCTTACTATGTTGCCCAAGCTGGTCTTGAACTCCCAAGCTCAAGCTATCCTCTCACTTCAGCCTCCCTAATAGCTGGGATCATTGCATCTGACAAGTGCAATGTCACACACCTATGATCCCAGCTATTATCTCATCTCACTTAACCTAATCTATTTTTCCAAATATAATTTGAGATATAGACTAGGAAGTCACCAGCATGTATATGATAGTAGAAGCCATGGGAATGGATAAGGTAATCCACGTACAATATGTATTATAGAATGAGAATAAAATTCCTAGGATAGAACTCTGAGGAGCACCAAGATTTAAAAGGGAGACAGAAAAAGTAGAGTCAGTTAAGGAAATTGAGAAGAAACAGTGACAGCAGAAATAGCATAAACGTATGTGATTAGGAGCCAGAGGAGGAAAGAAAGGAAGGAAAAGCTGTGGCCAACTGTGCCAAATGCAGCTGAAAGAGAGGCCAAGTAACATGAGGACTGGAAAGAGTTGACTGGATTTGGCAATTAAGAGATCATAATCTCTTTTGCTTAAGTAGCTTGGGGTGTGGTAGTAGTAGGAAATTTACCTTCAATGGGGCTGATCAGGAATGGAAATTCCCAGGCATATAGCAGATTAGGTATGTAAAGAAATCCTCTTGTTAAAAAACATAACACTTGTTGGATAAAATATTTTAAACACCATAATTTAAAAGCGCATGGCTAAAGTAGATGTGGGAAATCCTCAAAGAAATAAGAAAGTTGATTGAGACCTGAAATGGGTGTTTGCTCTGGGTTTGGCTACCAGTTTTTGGTGATCTGAAGGTTGGGTTTAAAGGCCATGTATGCAAGGTTAGGAAACCAAGTCTAGAGCCTGCACAGAGGTGGCGATTTGGATTATACTCTCTGAAAAGGGACCCCTGGTGGGTGGACCAGGAAAAAAAAAATCCACGCCACAGATGGAGATGGTAGAGCTCTTTGCTGCATTAGTTTTCTATTGCTGCCTAACATATTATCACACATTTAGAGGCTTAAAACAATACACATTTATCTTTTAGTTTCTTTATCTTTTTTTTTTTTTATTTGAGACGGAGTCTTGCTCTGTCGCCCAGGCTGGAGTGCAGTGGCGTGATCTCGGCTCACTGCAACCCCGCCTCCCGGGTTCACGCCATTCTCCTGCCTCAGCCTCCCAAGTAGCTGGGACTACAGGCGCCCGCCACCACGCCCGGCTAATTTTTTGTAGTTTGAGTACAGACGGGTTTCACCATGTTAGCCAGGATGGTCTCAATCTCCTGACCTCGTGATCCATCCGCCTCAGCCTCCCAAAGTGCTAGGATTACAGGCATGAGCCACCGCGCCCAGCTATCTTATAGTTTCTATGGGTTAAAAGCCTGGACATGTTTTATCAAGGTTCTCTGCTTCAGGGTCTCACCAGGCTGTAATCCAGGTATTGGCTGGGGTTGTGTTCTTATCAGAGGCTTCACTAGGAGAAGATATACTTCCAAATTCCCTCTGGTTGTTGGTTGAACTCATTTCCTTGTGACTTATATGACGGAGGGCCCTGGCTTCTTACTGGTTGTCAGCTGGAGTCTGTTTGCAGGTCCTAGAGGCTGTTTACAGTTCCCTGCTTTGTGGTTCTCTCCACAGGCAGTTCACAAGATGGCAGTTTGAATGCCACGGTAGAGTCTCTCCAGCCTGTTAAGACAAAGTTGTATATAACATAATGTCATAACGGGAGTGACAGCCTGTCACCTTCGCCATGCTCTATTGATTGGATGCAAGTCACAGATTCAACCCACATTCAGGGGAGGGAGGATTATACTTGGGGTAACACAAGGGAGCAGAGATCATGGGGCATTGTAGAATTCTGCCTGTCACACATGTTTATCACAAGCTTGGCTCTGGATAGAAGGGGACAAAAAGAAAAACAAAACAAAATACCTTTTCCTTGGACATTCCTAACCACAAACCTAACTTTAGGAGGTTTTAGGCCAGACTTTGTACTCTCTGTGGACCTCAAAATTCCAAGTTTAAATTGGTTGTTTAAGTTGGACCCTGGGAGAAGAAAATGCAAGTTATCTGTAGAAGAATGCCTCTTCGACCAGGTGTCAACGACTTCCACAGACACATTTCCAATAAATATGAGCTAACAACAAGACAAATCACAAAAACACGAAAAGTAATCAAGCCATCATGAAAGAGACAGCAGAAATAACAAACCACAAAGGTTAGAGACAGAGACCTGCAAAGGCTGTAGGTATAAGAATGATCAGATCTAAAATAAAAGTATGCTCAATATTTTTAAGTAAATAAAGTGGATATTGAAAGTGTAATGAAGGAACAAAAAAGTACTAAAATAATCAGGCAAATTTGAAAACGAATAAGTAGAAGGTAAAGATGTTAAACCTATCATTGAAATTAGAAATTGCTGTGTTTGGATGTGTCCCCTTCAAAATTCATGTTGAAACTTAATCAGCATTATGATGGTATTGAGAGGGGAAGCCTTTTGGTAGATGATTAAGTCATGAGGACCTTGCCCTCTGAATGGATTTAGCATCCTTACAAAAGGGCTCAAGGTTGAAAAGAGCCCTCTCTTGCCCTTCTGTCCCTACTGCAATGTGAGGACACAGTATGCCTTCCCACCAGAAGGTATAGAAGCAAGGTACCATCTCAGAAGCAGAGAGCAGTCCTCACCAGACACCAATCTGGCTGCTACCTTGATCTTGGACTTTCCAGCCCCCAGAATTGTGAAAAATTAATTGTATTTTCTTTATAAATTATCCAGTCTCAGGTATTCTGTCATAGAAGCACAAATGGGCTAAGACAGAAATTCAATACTGGGGACAAATAACAAGTTTAAAACATTTGAAGAAAAAAATAGTGGACTAGAAATATAACACAGAGAGACAACAAGATAAAACATAAAAGAGAGATTAAAATATTAAAATTTCTAGAGTGATCATTATAATAGAAATAGAGTAACTCAAACTGTTAGAGAAAAAACAATTGGAATTAGTCAATCCAAAACAATGAATAGCAAAAACCAGAATAGGCCACAAAACAGAAAATATAAAATATATTAGTGGGAATGAATCAGAATAGAACAGTAATTGCTAATTACAATAAATGAAAATGGACTATACTTTTTAGTTAAAAGTCAAAGACTACCAGATTGAATAAAAAATCTGCTATATGCTGTTTGAAAAGATGTATCTAGGACTTAAAGAGCCATAAAAGTTGAAAGAAGAAGGATGAAAAGTTACACCAGGAAAAATGTTAACAAGATAGCTGGTATATTCATATCAGGTAAAATATGGCTTAATGTAGACACTATTAGTTAAAAAAAGAGATCATCATTACATACTGATAAAAGCTTAACTCAGTGAGAAGAGATAACAATTCTAAGCTTATTTGCATTTAGTTACCTAAACTACAAATTTATAAAGTAAAATCGACAGAACTATTAAAAAAGCCCCAAAACAAACAAAAAAAACGAACTTAACAGATCCACTGCCAAATTAGAAAATTTAGTTTACATTTCTCGGTATTTAGTAGATTAAGCAGACAAAATGTTGTAAGTATATAAATTTGTGTAATACAGTCAGTAAGATTAATCTAATAAACATATATAAAACCCTGCATATGTTATCTGGAGAGTACAGATTTTTTTCAAGAACACCTACACATTAAAAATTGAACACATTGGAAGCCAGGGGTAGGTAAACTTTCTCTGTGAAGGGCAGATAGTAAATATTTTGGGCTTTGTGGAGCACGTGGTCTCTGTTTCTAGTACTCAGCTCTGCCAACATGGTAGCGAAGAAGCCACAGACAATATGTAAATGAATGAGTGTAGCTATGTTCTAGACTCCTTAGAGTACTTTGATAGCTTCCTAGATGCTCCCACCACCTACTCTTACTGTTTTCTACAGTCTTACAGGGGTCAAACCGTTGTAAAAAGAAAACACAACAAAACATAAAGATGATTATGTAGCACAGACTGTATGTGGCCCTCAGAGTCTGAACTATTACAATCTGGCCCTAAAGAAGAAAAGTTTGCTGGTAACTCTTTTAATACATTATCTATACTGACCTTGCATAAAGTCTCTTAAAAAAAGAACTGCCTTTCCATTCTTTTAAAAAAACATAGAATTCTCTAATATGGTCAAAAAGGCCATAAACGTGCATAATCTGGATGATCTACTTCTCCAGCATTATCTCCTGCACCCTCCCTTTCCCTCTCTGTGCTCCAGTCATTCATTTCTAGGGTTGTTTTTCAAGGTGCCATGTTCTTTTCTATTTCAGGGGCTTTGCACAAGGTATTAATATTCCCTCTGTTTGATGATCTCTCTTTTCTACAGATACCAATTTAAATATTACTTGCTCCAGAAGGCCTTTCATAATCTCCTACGCTAGATTAAGTTTACTCACATATGCCCCATCACCCTACAGTTTTAACAATTGCAACCCTTATACTATTCAATGTCTAGATTGCTAGACTGTAAGGTCTGTGGAGATGACATATTGTCTTACCTTGATTTCTAGCAGTAAGCATGATACATGGTATTTTTTTAAATAAATGGTTGTTGAATGAGCTTCCTGTTCCTCCACTGAAAAACGTCATTCTTTCAAGGCCCATCTTTACCTTTCTAGTTTCAATGGAAGATGTTTACCTTCTGTTAATTCCTGTCATCTGAATATTATTCTTCCACTTAGGGATTTTACTATGTTTATCTTCCTTCACCATTTTCTTTTCATCCTCTTCTTCCATTGACTTTTTCTTCATTCAAGCCTCTTGTCTTAAAACAACATTCCCCTGAGCCAATCTTTGGTTCCCTCTAGTTACTGGGGTGAGACATGTTCTGGAAATTATTCCATTTACGTCAATTTCTTCATTGCCATTCAATCCTTTTAACCCCATGTAATCTTTTTCTGTCCCTACCATTCAGCCAAACTACTGTAAGGGCATCAAAGACCTCTAAGCTGTTAGCTCTAATTGGCACTTTCAGTCCTTCTCTTAATCTTTCTCCCTAAAAAATTGGTTACTATTGACTCTTCTATAGATGAAAACTTCCACTCTCTCAATTTTATGACATTACTCCCCCCTGGTTTTCGTCCAATGACTGCCATTTCCACTTCTGCAGAATTCCTTTTTATCTGCCATGCCTCAAACATTGATGTGCTTTCATGGCTGTATACTTAGCCCTATTCTTTCCTTTCCTGAAGCAGTTTCCCCTGTATTACAAATCAGTGAATAGTGCCTCCCTTTTCTACTCTCTCAAGCAAGAATCCTGAGTCAACCTGATTCTTTCTTTCTTCCGTAGTCTCTACAGTCAGGTCCTACAAATGTTACCTTTAATATTTCTCATCAATTCTTTCCATCTGTACTGCCAAGGCCTTTGGTTAAGGCCTTCAATGTCGGTTAGCCAGAATGATTCAACAGCCTAACTAGTCTTGCCTCTCCAAACCATCCTCTGTTGCTAGTGATTTTTCTGAAACAAAAATCTAGTCATCATTCCTATTGCCTGAAACTTTTGGGGGGCTGCCCTCTGTCATAATAAAATCCAACTTCTAAGCACAGCATTTAAGAACACTAATACAGGCCAGGTGCTGTGGCTCATGCCTGTAATTCCCGCACTTTGGGAGGCTGAAGCCGGCAGATTGCTTGGGCCTAGGAGTTTGAGACAAGCCTGCGCAACATGGTGAGACCCTGTCTCTACCAAAAACGCCACAAAAATTAGATGGGCATGGTAGTGCATGCCTGTAGTCCCAGCTACTCAGGAGGCTAAGGTGGCAGGATCACTTGAGCCCAGGAGGCAGAGACTGCAGTGAGCTGAGATTGCACCACTGCACACTCTGGCCTGGGTGACAGGGCCAGACTATCTCAAAACAAAAACAAAAATGAAAACATAAAAACCCCCAAAACCCATTAATATAAATTAAATATTTGTATTTCACTCAAACTTGAGAGTTCTTAAAATGTCACACTCTGCTACATCTTTACAATCACAAATGCTGTTCCATCTTCCTGGACTCTATCTAATCCTTGAGACACCCTCTTGGCTAACTTCCAAATGGCAGCTCAGACACCATTTGTTTTCCGACCTGTCACCTTTCCTCTCTCTCCATGTTTTACTTGATCTCCTGAGGCTGAAATTTTTAAGCATTATTCATTCAGGTTAACAATTATTGATAGGATAGTTAGTGTGGTGGTTTGTAATGTCAGCTTGGTCAGGCAGAACTACATTTTCCAGAATTATCTTCCTTCAATGTTCTGTAAGCCACAAGTCTTGAGCAAAATTTGGAGGGTGAATGTGAAGCAGCAGCTGTTTTATAGCTAGCTGAACAACTTCCCATCCTTTCCCTGGATCACTCGTTTCTCTAACCAGGTTTCTCTAAACCACGTGTTTGTGTTGGATATGGGGTTATACAGAACAACCACATTATCAAGGCCAGAGATGATACAAACTGCCGTGGGTTTGTCTGTGCTTGTTATTTCCACTTGTTCTCACTGCCTCCCATTTTACATCCATCTTCCCTTAACCAACTGTCGTGTGGACTTCAAGCTCCAGCATCAGAAAGAACACTAACAGCTTTACAGATTGTTTAGCTCCCACAACAGGGTAGTCAAATTCCTTATATATAAACATATATTCTGCTTCGCTGACTGAACCTTGACCTGGATGATGTATATGAGGGAAACATGAGGCTGGTAAGACTACTTAAAATGATGCTTGCCACACTCTCAGAGTGCTCTGTGCTCAAGTTTGTATCATCACATATTCTTACTATCTTCCTAGTAGATATTTAACTCCGAGGTGAGGACTTTTATCTCTGTATGATCACTGCCTTATGTTGCTTAGCACAAACTAGGTGTTTTATAATTTTTTGTTTAATCAATTTGAAATAACTGTTGATCCAATCAAATTATCTTTAAGTAACAAAGATATCAATCTGATTTCAGTATTAGATTAGTACATTAGTTATCAATATTGGCTCAAATGATTATTACATAAAATCTTAGGAAGTCAATGAAAATATCAATTACCCATGATAAATATTTTCAAATATTTCCTATTATGTAATTTCTCCATTTGAATACAAATAAATCCTTGTACAAGTATGGGAGAATCGAATGCAGATAAACCTATGAAGGGAAGAATTTTCTAATTTATCTACTAGATTTTTCTTCAATTAAAAAAGAAATTGTAAAATACACATAAAATTTACCATCTTAATCACTTTTAAGTGTACCATTTAAGAACAGTATTAAATACATCCTTAATGTGCCACCATCACCACTATCCAGCACCATAACTCATCTTGTAAAACTGCGTGATGTCCTCAAGGTTCATTCATGCTGTAGCCAGTGTCAGAATTTTCTTCCTTGAAGTGGAGTAATACTCCATTGCATGGATATGCCACATCTTGCTTATCCATTCATCGCTACTGAAGCACACTTGGGCAGCTTCCAGTGTTTTAGCTATGTGAATAACGCTGCTATCCACCATGGTGATACACAGGTATCTCTTCAAGACCCTGCTTTTATTCTTTCTTGAGTATAACCCTGGTAGATGTGATTGCGGGTCCATCCGTATTTCCATTTTACTTTTTATGAGCGGATCACCTCCACCTTTTCCATACAGTGGGGACCTACATGTACATTTCATATTTCTACAACACGTAGCACCAAGCGTTTTCCACTTCTCCATACCTTTGCCACACTTGTTATTTATCTGATGTTCCTGTTAGGTGGTCTGCTGATTTTTTTTTTTTTTCTAGATGGAGTCTTGCTCTTCTGTCTCAAGGCTTGGAGTGAGTGGTGTGACTACTCCGCGCTCAGCCTACACCTTGCCTCCCTCGGTTCAAACACATTCTTTGCATCAGCCCTCCTGCCAGTAGCTGGCGATTACAGCGCCTGCCACCCATCGCCTGGCTAACCTTTTGTTTTTTAGTAGAGACTAGGCGGTTTCACTGTGTCTGGCAGCGCTGGTTTCAACTCCTGACCTCAAGTGATCCTCACCCTGTATCGACTCCACAGTGAAGGGATTCACAGGGTGAGCACTGCGCCACCTGCCTGTCCTGGATTCCGAAGAGGTGATTTTCAATGACACAGTGACTCATACATATCTTTCCTACAGGCATACTAAAATAAATCGTCAACTTAATTATGACATTACGATATACTTATAATATCTCCCATTTCAGTATACATTTTACAGAGTACCAGAATAAGCTTTCACCCACTCTCATAACCTATCAGTCAAAATCAGTTCACTCATCACTGCGCGAATGGTCCCTCACATAAACACAGACCGTACCCTTCACACAATCTTTAATTTTACCTGGCATACCCAAAGCTGATATTCTCAGAGAATTCAAAAACTTGCACAACCTTGTTTTCATTCATTGTCACCTTATTCGCAAGATGGCTACAGAATTAATTGTCAATTTAACTATATCTGGGTATCCTTTAGTCACGGCCCAAGTTGTTTATACAAGACAAACCTGCTTATTCAGTAGTGATCATGGGACAACTCAAAGGCAGAGTAACCAAAATGAGAACACTTTGACACGGCCGATAGCAGATTTTGTTCTCTTACTATTGACACACAACTTTTCATTTTAGGCAAGGGTAACATAACCTCCTAGACATCCAACTCAGAAAGCTTTCGTATCAAATAGACTAGTTCCCATCCTATCTCGTCACCTGTCTTCTACGCTGCTCACTTGGGATAGCATCTCATCTTACATAACCCGCCTGTGCTTGCAGCCTCTTTGCACAGCCTTTAGGTCGCGCAAATGACTTGGCAACTGTCTCCTTTTCCTGTGATAAGGAAAGAGACATCTGTTAGACCATTTCCCAAACATAGAAAATACAATAGAGTATAACATCCTTATTCTAAAGGACACTCCTTAACCCAGATCCAGAACCTCAAGATTACTTGGCTTACACTGATACCGGCTACCTACGACAGGTCTTAGAAGCTAAATACATTTAAACACAAGGAGATCACAACTTTCTTCTTTACCAGCAAATTCCCACGCGGTGTTGTAAAACTCTGGCTCACAGCTTTTATGGTGTTTTGTCTGTCTGAGACCCAATCTCTCTCGTACCTCTCTCGATTGCTCAATCTTCGACTTTTTTTCCTTGTTCAGATCAAATAATTTTTTTTCTTTTTCCAAAACTTTGTCATTTTCTAAGTTTCTTCGCCATTCTACCATTTATGTCAAAGACGTTTCTCCCGCAAGACCACCTTCATGTTCGCGCTGTTTTTTTTTTTTTTTTGCGGAGTCTTCCTCTGTCACCAGGGCTGGAGGCAAGTGCGGATCTCAAGCTCCAAAAAAACCTGCAAGCTCCGCCTCCCCAGGGTTTTAACGCCTCCATTCTCCTGCCTCACGCCTCCCAAGTACAGCTGGGATACACGGCACCCACCATCTCGCGGCTAGTTTTTGTTTTTTCATTTTTGTATTTTTACAGTAGAGCGGGGTTTCACCGTGTTAGCCAGGATGGTCCCTCCGATCTCCTGCCTTTGTGATCCGCCCGTCTCTCGGCCTCCCAAAGTGCTGGGATTACCAGGCCTTTGGCCCCAACCGTGCCCGGCCTAGACCCTGTTTTTCTAATCCTACATACGTTATGCTGAAAATGACCAGAAATACTTAAATGTTATAAACACAAGAAAGAAAAAAATCAAGTCACATTAAAGCAAAAATATAAATGAAAAAAAAATCGATTCAGTTTAAGCAAACAGAAAACATTTCCGTTCAAAACAGACAAATTATGCAGGTGAAAAGAAGAAATGGAATGTCATGGAATTAGAAAATGGAAGGGGCTTAGAAATAGCCTTGTTCAGTCGTTTATTTATTTTATTTTTTGAGGCAAGGTCTTGCTCTGTCACCCAGGCTGGAGTGCAATAGTGCGATCAGAGCTCACTACAGCCTATGCTTCCTGGGCTCAAGAGATCCTCTCACCTCAGCCTCCTCAGTAGCCCTAAGTACAGGCGTTTGTCATCGCACTCAAGCTACTTTTTAAATATTTTGCAGAGACAGGATCTCGCTATGTTGCCCAGGTTGGTCTCGAACTCCTGGTCTCAAGTGATCCTCCTGCCTCGCCCTTCCAAAATTTTGGTATTACAGGCATGAGCCACCATGCCCAGCCCAGTCTGTTTTATAGAGAAATTAAATATATCAGTTAATGCTACCCAAATTTGAGGAAAGAGAAAAGCCAGCCTGACAGATAGGCAGCATCTTCCTGCTTATCACTATCCAGAAAAACAAACCGGGGTTACACTGTTACTTCTAGGCTAAAGACTCCTTGCCAGCTATTTCTACCTTAATGAAACATCAGCAGATACTTGTTAAGAGATAACAGTACAATGTCAGAACCTATAAAAATGTTGTGTACCTGCTCTGCGGAGATGCTTTGCACCACGTGCTTTTCCACCCAATTTATCATGTGCTCTTGTTCCTTTCGACGCGTCATGTTCTGCACAGCTATATGATAGTCCAGGCGATTTTTTACTTCCTTATATACTCTATATAGTCGTTCCCGGTAAGTAACCTCCAAAGCCATAGCAATGTTATTCTGGGGCAAAATGAAGAAATGATAAACATTGTATACTTGAAGGAATACTTCTACTCTGAAGATTCTGCCAGTGAGAATGCCCTACTTCTTTTGTATTTTATGTGGAATTCTTTTATTTAATAAATATATACCTAGAAATTATAACAGCATATGGCAAAAACATACTTAAAAGTGTATGCTGTAAGAAATAAGTCTCCTTCAGTCCCCCCATAGGCCACTAACTTCCTGTATTTCTTGTATTCCCTCCCAGAAATATTTAATAAAAATATAGGTATACACATCAAAATATAGGCATATACACATCACGTTTATTAATTATGACAGAAAAACCTACCTCAATTTTAAGCTACATTGGATTCCACTATACTGGTACTCCATAATTAATTTTTTGGTTCTACAAATAATGGTGCATACATCGTATATTTGTCTTTGTGTTTATGTCATAATACTTGCTGGATCAAATAATAGTTAACATTTGTAGAGTACTGACTACACTCTAAACACTTTTGTGTTTGGATTCAATTAAACCTCATAATGAAACCATGGCATAGTTATTATAATTATATCCATTTTGCAGTGAGGAAACTGAGGCAGAAGTTAGGAAACTTGACCAAGGTTACAGAGCTAATAAACTATGAAGCCAAGATCAGCATACAGGCAATAAGGCTACAAGGTCAAGCTCTTATATATTTCTACTTAGCTAACCCATAGGCATCACAAACCAATGCACACCAAACTGAAGGCTATTGGCAACAAGGCAATCAGAGTGATCCTTCATGACTTTCTCTCATTCAGAGTCCAAGTCAAAGTTCGTATAGGAGCCTAAGGTCTTTATGTATCATAGTCCCAGGCCACCCTCTATCTCCTTTTATTCTCCCCCCACCAATTCTACTTCAGCTGTATGAACCTTCTTACTTTTCCTTGACTATATCAAGCAAACTTCCAGGTTTAGGGCATTTGCAACTGTTCTTCCCTCAGCCTGGCACTTATTTCCCCAAAAACCCACATACTTTGCACTATTAGTTCTTTCACGTCTCTGCTCAAATATCATATTAGAGACATTTCCTGAATGCCCTTATAAAAATAGTAACTCCTTCTTCCTGCAATTTTGTAGAAAGGGTCTATGCCCAGGCTGGTCTCAAACTCCTGGGCTCAAGTGATCCTCCCGCCTTGGCCTCCCAAAGTGCTGGGATTATAGGCATGAGCCAATGCACCTGGCCTGCAATCTTTTTAATACTAGTTTATTTTTCTATCTAGCATTTACTACCTGTTGACATTTGCATCTGTTCAATTATTTATTTTCTGTGCTTCTCCCAAAGACTGGCTAGAAAATAAGACTCCATCAAGGCAGAAGCTGTTTGTTCTCCACTATATTTTCAGCACTCTGCCTTGGTCAGAATATCTACATAGGAAGAACTCAATAAATAGCCATCAAGTAAATATAAATAAATAAAAACCTAAATTACTATCATTTCACTCTTAGGAAAAAGCTACATTTTCCAGTATGGTTTTTTAAAAAAGCCAAAATATATGTATGCATGCATTCACATATGTGTATATACTACGCAAGAAGCAGGAAGCATTCTCCCTTTGTAACCTAAATATACACGGAATTAACATTTTTCTGGGATTTTTCAAATATCCATGTGCTTACGAGTCCTTAGGGATCTTGTTAAAAAGAATACAGATTCTTGGATAGCCCTTAAGAAAGGTTCTGATTCCACAAGTCTTGGAAAGAGGCAAAAAAAATTAACACCAAAGATAACTCTAATGCATGTGGTACCAAGACCACATTGGCCAAGATCCTAAACATTTCAGATGCTTACTATCTTGGCCAGTATTGAGAAATATTGGCCAAGATCCTAACTATTTCAGATGCTTACTCTAACTCCAGTCTTGACTTCCTGGGTGCAAGCAGTCCTCCTGCCTCACCCTCCTCAAGTCCTAGGATTACAGATGTGAGCCACTGTGCCCAGCCTGCTTTGTGAATTTAGAATATGCAGTATCAGATTTCCTTACAGCAAAGATGTTAAGATGTTCTTGTAGCAAGTGTGTATGAAATACACAGGATGTATTTTACCTATAGTCCTCCTTATACAGTGCATGTCATTTTTAAATCAGCTTTAACTTAATGACTATTTCTTTTTGTGTGGATCCGAAATGTTTTTTTAATAGCTTCTACGGTTTCTAATTTTATAATAATTTGAACTATTTTTCCACTTGACAGTTCTTAAATGTTTGAATAGCCGTGAATGCCAACTGCTACATAAATGTTCTCTTTTCTAAATATGTTCAATCTATTTAATCATTCTTCATAAAAAATTCTGAATTAAAAAAAATGCACACAAGTAACTTCATTCTTTCTAGAAACTTCTGAAACCTACCCTTTGCACATCAAAAAGGTAATGGCGCTTCTGAGTCAGTGCCTGCTGTGACTTCTCCATATCAATTGCATTCTGGATTTGCTGGATGGAAGCCTGCTTCGCCTCTTCTAGTTGGGCAAGTTTTTGCTACAATTGTGATAGCAACAACAAAGATCAGTGAAAACACAAAGGGTAAAAAAAGGAGATTCATTTCATGCTTCTTCAAAGTTGCATCTCTCATTTGTAAAAACACCCACAAAGAAAATAGAAAGAAATGCACAAATCCCTAAAAATAATTTCCCATAATAACTATACAATACCTTTTGAATGATTGTAGAAAAGCTGAAGGGTTTAGTAGATATAAAAAAATTATCTCAAATTAGTAACTAACATTAACACTTATTTGAAGCATTAGATTCATTTCTATGTGTTGCTCCCCTAACAATCATATCAAAAATATCACTAGATGACCTTCATGTTTCTGCTAGTCTAAAATAGGAAATAAGGTTTATGGTTCTTACCTCATTGATTTTATCAGCATATGCTGCAACAGCGGGACCATATTTTTTAATTCCATAGACCATTATCCCTATTAATGACATGGCAGTGAAGGTCTCTGCGGTAATCACATATATTTCTTTGGATAAAGCATACAAGATAAGCCCAGTTCCGAGCACATAGGGTCCTACAAGAAGAAGAGTTATTTTATGAATGGATATGCTATGCCTAAAAGAGGGAAGATAGAAAGGCACTTCTATATTTGATTAGCAGAAAGCAAAGTAATGACTTAATTAGATTCAAAGACAAAACACTGGATTGGGAAGCAGTAGGGTAGAGCTGAAAGAACAAAGATATGGACTCAGGGAAATCTGTATACTGACTCTGCAATTTTAAAGAAACTGAGCAATCTAAATAATCTCTGAATTTAGTTCCTTATTTGTAAAATGGGGACAATACCTTCTTCAGTCTGATAAATTTGAGAAATAATGTTAAGCACAATACCCAGCACAGTAAATTAAACTATTCTACAAAGATGCCAGATAACTTTCTGAAGTAACTTGTCCAGCAAAATATACTATTTATTGAATGGGAACACTAGACAGGTTAAAATTTACACAAGAAACAAGCAAAAACAACTACAAAGTGGTATGTATATAAAAGAATGAATAAATTAGGATTCCCAACTCCTGTAGCACCTAATTACAACGCTTCAAATATGGTTTTTTCTTTAACCAGGCCATGTATTCTGAAAGGATGCAAACCATGATTTACATTTCTTTAGTCTTTCCGCCATGCTTCACAGGATGTAAGAGAGGCCCACAGAAGGCTTTTAGGAAAGCATTTTACAGTATTTCTGAGAATCATAGGATGGCAGGATGTATCATGACAATAACAGGGTTACAAACTCAAATACATTTTACCCGGTTTCCCATACAAAGTTCCAACCGTTTTTTTTTAATTGTCTTTAATATACAAATTTTAAATATGAATTTGCAAGAAACATCTATCATATGTAACATTTTTATCACCCATTGAAGTCTGAGGAGACTAATGTTTCTAGCAATTTCAGTTAGGAAAATGCTACTTTAGGTGACTCTCGGGCTAAAAAAAGAGTCTTTGGCTTCCAATGTTCCACAGTCATAGCAATACTTGGGTATGGGCCAAGAAAGGCAGTACATGTAGTAGAGAGAATCATAAACTTAATCAGGGGACTCTTGCTTTACCTGGCTTCATTTTTATTCATACCCTTTTCATTATCTAACAGTATATTATACAGTTACTCATTTCTTTATTGTCATCCTACAACAGAATGTATGTTCCATGACAGCAGGCACTTAACACTGTTTAACACCATACGCCTTCAACAGTGCCTGGCATAGAGCAGGCATCAAAAAATTTGATCTACTAACAGAGATAATTCTGTAAAATTAAGTTTAAAATCCCAAATACATTTATACCAAAAACAAGTTGGAGCAATCAAATCAACTGTTACAATTTCCTTTTGAAAACAGCTGACTTGCGGCTGCAGGCGGGTGGCTCAAGCCTGTAATCCCAGCACTTTGGGAGGCCAAGGTGGGTTGATCCCACGAGCCCAGGAGTTGGAGACCAGCTTGGGCTACATGGTGAAACCTTGTCTCTACAAAAAAATTAAAAAATGAGCTGGATGTATGCCTATAGTCCCACCTACTCGGGAGGCTGAGGTGGGAGGATGACCTGAGCCTGGGGAGGTGGAGGCTGCAGTGAGCTGTGATTGTGCCACTGCACTCCATCCTGGATGATAGAGTAATACCTTGTCTCAAACAAACAAACAAACAAACAAACAAAAAAACAACCAAACAAGAAAACCCACCTAATTTGATTTTAGTGATGCCATCAAACCATATTATCAAAGACCAGGCAAAAATGCTCACCTGTTACACCAGTTTTAGGATAAAGAAACTGGAAGAATTCCTCAGGGATCAGTCCATAACGAACTTTTCCTCCATATTCAGGAAGAGGTGGTAGAGGGGCAAGGTGTGGCTGCCCTGTATGGAAGGTCCTTGTTGCCTGCAATACTCTACAGGTAATTATTGTACAAATGTAAAGCCTATTTCTTTAAGGAGAATACAATGTATGAATAATTAGCAGAAACAATAAATGGGGTTGAGGATTGAGGCAGTTTTCTAACTCTCATAATGGAAAGAGAATGGACTGGGAATAGGAAGGTTAGGGTCCAGTAATCAGCTGTGACAAGAGCAAAGAATTAATTACAGACACTTAACCTTCTACCCAATACTGGAATCCTTTCTATAAGCCTTGCAGATCATCTGTCTAGCACTGTGTATGTCTATTATTAGCACTGAAATATGTAAGAATGTGGATGTGGCAGCCAGATAGACTTCTTGAGTTCAAATCCTAGACCTGCCCCTTGACTTTGAGTAAAGAATTTAAAGCTTTTGTAATCTCAGATTTCTCTCAGTAAAATGGAAATAAAAGATAATACCTTCTATGGTTGTTGACAGGATTAACTGAGTTAATATGTGTAAAGTGCATAGAATGATGCCTGGCACATGGAAAAGTGCTATGTAAGTGGTTAGCTATTATATGCCTGGTATGTTGGCTCCTCAACCTTTCTGAATACTCTCTTTGATGGGAGTGCTAATCACTATATGTAACAGACTTTTTCAGTACTGGGTAGCTCTAATTATATTCATCTTTGAATTGAGATGCTGCATACATTCTTGGAACCTCAATCCATTCTTAGTTCTAATTTTGCTACGTAAGATAACACACATGTACCTGGGTGAAACATCTGTTCCCTCACAATCCTGATTGCCCATAAAGACTTCTCTGGTTTTGTCTTTTTTTTTAATGAGGTATAACAGAACTGTATATAATACTCTAAGTATAGTCTGGCCAATTCATTCATTCTACAAATACTTATTGAGAACTTGCTATTGCCAGTTTGGAAACTATTCTTGTATTAAAGCAGCTTAAGACTACACTTTTAACAGTTACAGCATACTGATGTCTCCTTAGGCTTCTGATGAAATAAAATTTAGTCCCTTTATGTCTGCTGTCAAGTTTAGTCTCCTTCAAGTTTTCAGTATATTTTTGTCCCACTTCCCACCTCCCATTCCTCTACTCTGTCAACCTCTATCTCCTTGTAATGTAAGAATTTACATTATTTCATTTATTTTGGTACAATGCTTATCTTTTGAATATTATTTCTGCCTCCAAATATATTAGCTACCCCACTAGGTTTTGAAATCTGAGAATCACGCTCGAGATTCCTTCATTTACATCAAGGTTTCTCAACTCAGCACTACTGATGTTTGGACTGGATACTTCTTTGTTGTAAGAGGTTGTTCTGTGCATTGTACAACGTCTGGCAGTATCTTTGTGGCCTTTACACAACAGATACCAGTAGCCTCCTTCCTCCCCGACCCACCCAATGGTAACACTGAAAAATATCTCCAGACATTGCTAAATGTCACCTGCAGGCAAAGCACCCCAGGCTAAGAACCCCTGATTTAAGTCATAGTACTAAAGGGTATGCTTAAGCTGATAAGTCTCCCTAACTAGCTACCTTAGTTCAAGCCCTTATCACCTCTTGCTTAGTTTAACAATCCAAAACCTGATCTCTCTGCTTATTTTATTTTTTTTTGAGACAGAATCTCGCTCTATCACCCAGGCTGGAGCACAGTGGCGTGATCTCTGCTCACTGCAACCTCCACCTCCCAGGCTCAAGCGATTCTTGTGCCTCAGTCTTCCGAGTAGCTGAGATTACAGGCGTGTGCCACCACGCCTAGCTAATTTTTTTATTTTTAGGACAGATGGGGTTTTGCCATGTTGGCCAAGCTAGTCTCAAACTACTGGCCTCAAGTGATCTGCCGTCTCGGCCTCCCAAAGTGCTGAAATTACAGGTGTGAGACACTATACCTGGCCTCTGCTTCTTATTAAATACCCCAACTTAAACCTAGCCCTCTCACATTACTGCCAATGTTTCTAAAATGAAAATTTGACTTGAAAACTCAACAGGCTCTCTCCCGCCTACTGAAAACTACTTAATATAACATATATAATCTAGTACCTGTCATTTTTTTTTTTTTGAGACAAGGTCTCACTCTGTCACCCAGGCTGGAGTGCAGTGGTGCCATCACTGCTCACTCGCAGCCTCCACCTCCTGGGCTGAAGCCATCCTCCCACCTCAACCTTCCCAATAGCTGGGAGTACAGGCGTACACCACAATGCCCAGCTAATTTTTAGAATTTTAAAAAAATTTTGTTGTTTTGTTTTTGTCTCACTATGTTGCCCAGGCTAGTCTCGAACTCCTGGGCTCCAGTGATCCTCCTGCCTTGGCCTCAGGATTATAGGCATGAGCCACCACTGTGCCTGGTCCTGTCAAATTTTATAACCTCATCTTCCTTCATTCTCTTACTCTCCTGGAATTACTTAACAGCTCTCAAAAACAAACGAAGAAACACCACAAAAAAATTGGCCAATGCTGCTCCTTCTGTCTTGTATGCCCTTCATACCATGACTTCATAGCAATGACTACCAAGACCAATCAGCCTCCAGATGTGTAAAGCCCTCCCCCATTTTGGGCTAACATTCATTCTTTTAATCAATAAAACATTTACTGACTTTCTACTAATGCTAGGTACCAGTAACATGGCAATGAACAAAGCTCCAGCCTTCAACATTCTAGTGGGGGTATGGGAAGGGTGAGTGTGTATCTCCATACAAAATTTCAGGCAGTTCTAAGTGCTGTGAAGAAAAACTGAGCAAGGTAAGGGGATAGGGAGCAACAGAATGGGGAAGTTTTTTTGGTAGGGAGCCAGATGACATTTGACCCAATGATCTGAGGAAAAGAGAGAAGAGCAAGTAGAAAGATATTGAGGCACGAATGCGCTTGGTAGTTTTCAGAGGAACACCAAGGCCAGTATGGTTGAAGAACGAGCTAAAAAGAGAACAGAAGGAGATGGTGTCAAGAGATAGGATGGGATCAATTCATGTTGGACCTTCTGGGTTATGCTAAGTTTGGATTTTATTCAAGTGGGATGGGGAGCTCTGGAAGGCTTTGGTGGGAGATTGACATAATCCTCCTGGCTATTATGAGAATGGGCTGTAATGGCACAAGAATAGAGATGCAAGACTAATGAAGAGACTACTAAAATACCTAGGTGAAAGTTTGCGTTGGTTCATACTCTAGTGGCAGTGGAAGCAGCAGTCAGAGTCCAAATTTCTAGAGGAAGAGCCTTGCTGAGGTACTGGACATGAAGTGTGAAAAAAAACCAAGGATATTCCTTGTATCTTGTAAATATAAGTTATTTATTACCTGGTATTACAATTATTTGTTTACAAGTCTGTATGGGATCCTTTTTCTTCTAAGTTGGAAGCAGTCAATTATAGCCTCACTTCATTGCACACGGGACTCAATTACAGACAAGACCACTTTTTCAAGTCCAGTTTTTTCAATTTGATAGTTAACATAATTTGCAAGCTTTAGAACTAAATTTGGAAGTAAAAAGAAATCTCTAGGAAAATGAACGTCTTATGAAACAATTTTAACGCAAACAGCTGCTAAATTTACTAAACACACACCATGTACCAAGAACTGTTTTTGAATTTCACAGAAATTGCCTCTTAATTCTCAAAAGCCACAATACACTATCATGAGCCATTTTGTAGATGAGGAAATTGAGGTCACACAGCTAGTAAGTGGAGGGGCCAGGGACCCTGTACTGGCTTTGGAGCCCTCACTCTAAACCAATACTCTAAAGGTGCCTCCCATTCCTAGACTGTGAGCTCCATGAGGGCAGGTAATTTGCCATACTCATTCTTGTATCCTTGGTTATGTGTTTAGGCAACATAAATATTTACTGAATCAATGAATGATTTCTCTGATTGTTATTATATGGCAGCAAAAACTAGGTATCTGGGAAACAGACTATAAACAACATGCTTCACTGTTTTATTGAACAAAATTTGTTCTTGGGTATGTAATCTACTCTGATTCAGGCTGTGGAGGCTACATGTCATAAGGTCCCAAGGGAAGGTCACAAAGGAGAGGGGCGGGCATAGAAGACAGCAAAACCAATTTCTAGTTTAGTTAGAATACGTTACATATCCTGTTAAAGTCTTGGTCATCAGTTCATATGACAGCGTTCCTGGCAGTTACAGGAACAAGTGTTTGAAAGAGGGTTTAAGTGTCCCAAAATTATCGGAAAGAGATTTCTGGCCTAAAGCTAAGGGGGTGGGGGCAGGAATCGAGAAATAAAAGATAGTAAAAACAAAGACGAAACGGACCATTATCCTCACACTTACCCTGGACCTAGGAAGGCTGCATTCTTCAGAGACGGAGCTGCAGACAGACAAGGCGAAGGTCAGCAAAGTCAAATGAACTCTGGTTTGTCCCTTCCTCATCCCCGCCAGGCTGGATCACTAAGGCTATGTACCCCTCTTTCCTGTCCCTTAAGTCCCCACGCTCCTCTCCGAGGGGCGCTGATCACTCGCCGCTCAGGCCCGTGTCGCTGCGCCCTTCTCCCCTCCTTGTGACCCCTAGATTCGCTTCTTTCCAATCACTCTAATAGCCCAGAGCAGCGTCTACACCCCTCACCCGCTGTGGCGGCGGCGGAAAGTACCACCCGGGACAGCATGGTCAGCGAAGGTGCAGGTAGCAATCTTAGAGTCCCTGTGACCCCGACAGGAGAATGTGTCAGGGCAGGAGCAAGATGGCCGCTCACAAGTCTCGCGAGATGAAAATTTTGTAGTCTTCCTTCAACTTTCCTCGGGAGATTTTTTTTTTTTTTTAATTATCGCGAGACGAGGCAAGTAACGCTGAGAACCTATCGCAGGAGGGCGACAGCCGGAAAGCAGGATGGAGCCACAGAAGCAATTCTCGCGAGAAGTAGACTTGCCGTAGCCTCGGGAGAGGGGCGGAGGCTCAGAGGCACACCACGTGGGGTTTGCTATCGGAGCTGAGTCTCCGGCCGGCGTCCAATTTGAGTCTAGGTTGGAGTTGGAACCGTGGAGATGCGGAAGGAAACCCCGCCCCCCCTAGTGCCCCCGGCGGCCCGGGAGTGGAATCTTCCCCCTAATGCGCCCGCCTGCATGGAACGACAGTTGGAGGCTGCGCGGTACCGGTCCGGTGAGCCGAGATCCCGGGCCTGGGAGCTCCCTTACCCCGGCCCAGGGCGCCCCTCCCCAGAGACTGACCCTCCCAGCCCATCCCCGCCCTGCATGTTATCCTGACCCGTGGGTCGCACCGCTGAGCTGTCCCCAGCCCTGCCCCGCGTTCCTGAGCTCAGATCCAGACCCGGCCCGAAAGCTGTTCTGTGCGGTCTTCATGGAGGCGAGCCCTTCCACCCTTCACGCGCTGACAGCTTGTACCCCCCGTAGATGGGGCGCTTCTCCTCGGGGCCTCCAGCCTGAGTGGCCGCTGCTGGGCCGGCTCCCTCTGGCTTTTTAAGGACCCTTGTGCCGCCCCCAACGAAGGCTTCTGCTCCGCTGGAGTCCAAACGGAGGCTGGAGTGGCTGACCTCACTTGGGTTGGAGAGAGAGGTATTCTGGTGGCCTCTGATTCAGGTGAGTCACTTTCCCCTCATCCACCCCTCACCCCCACCCCCACCCCCGGGTGGAGTGGTAGAATGGAGGCTTGGGGTACGGGTAGGGCTGAGCTCAATATCTAATGTCCTATGTTCAGTGCTTGGAGGAGCCTGAGAGTGTTGGCCCTGAATGCAAACTCTTGTGTAGGTGGGAAATATATTTTCTAAAATTCTAAATTGTCTGTTGAGATTTCCTAGAAAAATCCGTAACAAAATTAAGCAACGGATTGGAACCATTTTTCTTCTGTGTAACCTGCTGCTTAACCCCCGCAGCCCAGACCAAGCATAATCTTGATTTTAAGATGACACTGAAGCCAATCTATGCTACATGTCTCTTTCCATTTCTTACTGCTTTCTTGTCTTCATTCTGCTTTCTTTGTGTTGACTGTAGGCTCAGCGATGCAGGCTTTGGCATTTTTTTTTTTTTAATCAGAATTTGGAAGTTGGCTGGCATTGCATGGAAGTTTAAAAGACCCACTTATAGATTTAACCTCTCTGACAATTGAGCTTGAACAGTACATAATCAAGAAAACTTTTGGCGGATTCTCTATACTGAGCCAGTCACTGTGCAAAACGTTCAATTATTCAACACATTTTTAAAGACTCTGCAAGACATTTATTCAACTAGTTCAGCAAATACTTATTAGTGTCCAAATAATTGGGAAGTGTTAACATCACTGGCTTTCTCCACCTCCTTGTCTGGGCTGTCATTAGGAAAACAGTAACACAGAATAAAGTCAAAGGCTCAGAAATTAGCTAAACTCTTCAGTGATGTGGACTTTGCTTTTATAGGAATAACTAACTTACTTTGTTAATTTAGTGACAGTGGCTCTTTGAATCCTAGAAGTGAATTACTGCCTTGGTATAATTCAAGCTCATGTGTTCCTTACCCTACCCCCAACAGGTGCTGTTGAATTGTGGGAACTAGATGAGAATGAAACACTTATTGTCAGCAAGTTCTGCAAGTATGAGCATGATGACATTGTGTCTACAGTCTGTGTCCTGAGCTCTGGCACACAAGCTGTCAGTGGTAGCAAAGACTTCTGGTGGGTCCCTGTTCTCATTGCTTCTGTCTCTGAGCCTCCTTTGGGCGCCTTTCCTATCCTGTTAACCTCATTAGGTAACATTTTGGGCTTATTCTAAGAATTCAGTGACTAACTTTAGCATGTCTATAAGGTTTCCTTAGGGATTTTGCAGTCCATTGTAAGTAGACCATAGCAGCAGTCCAGGAGGCAAAGACTTGGGGAATGTTGATTACAGGAAGTTCATGTTTGAACACGTTTTTATGTTGCTAGTGTAGGTCAAGATTAAATGTCTGTTTTCTTTTGCCTCTTAGCATCAAGGTTTGGGACCTTGCTCAGCAGGTGGTACTGAATTCGTACCGAGGTGAGTATTCTTTCATTTTTAGCCCTGGTCTTAGCTATTGTGTTTTTGGACTTTCTGAAGTTTGCTTTGATGTTAGGAACAGCAATTCCATGTTCTGATAGTTTTCCTATAAAACAGTAGTCAGGCTCCAGTATCTACCCCTTGTCCTTTTCTCAATTTCCTTGTTTCTTTTTTCTTTCTTTTTTATTTTTTTTAATTCGACTAGTCAAGTACAGTAGTGAAAAGAGGGGAAGAATATGACAAGGAGTTTAGTCTGTAACTGACTGTGAACAATCAATTGAGATAACTCGCTACCTTCAGACCAGCCAGTTTCCCTGTTTCTATTGATGGCCTTACCACCTTGGCAACACAGGGCTCAAACTCTCGGTCCTTTTCCACCCCTTCTGTTTCCCCACCATCAGTTGGCCACTAAGTTCTTTTTAGTCTTTTCCACTGGTCAGTCACCTTCCTATCCATTTCTATGCCCCTATTCGCTTTCAGGCTTTACCTTACACAGGTAGTAGCACTCATGTCTCCACCAGCAATCTAGTTCTTTTGGTCTTTTATTAGTTTCTTGTGGCCAGTTGATTAAAATCCCATTTTCTTGTAATGGCATTGAAACCCTTTTACTGCATTTCCTCTCTTCAAGCTTATTAGATCCTTGACATTCTCAAGGGATAAATCTTGAGACTTTCAAATCTTGAATTTTTGAGTATTTACCTTCATAAAATGCCTGTTTTCTTTTGAGAACCATTGCTTTTTTAATGCCCCTCTTTCTGCTCACTTTCATTAACAGCACTAGTGGTTGACTTTATCTTGGGAGCCATTCTTTGTGAAGATAATGTCTAGAGTCTTAATGTGTGCATGTTCCAAGATTTAGATGCTGGGTGATTGATCACTGTGGTTCTCTCAATGGCTAAGTGCCTTTCCCTGCCATTTCTAACTTCAAAGTACATGATTAAGTTATAGACCAGAGAAATCACAGACTCATATCCAAGGTCCAGTATCCTGGACCTTCAGGGTCACTTGCAAATAGTTTTACAATAATGTTGAATGCCCAGCTGTGTGCAGTGGCTCACGCCTGAAATCCCAGCACTTTGGGAGGCTGACGTAGGCAGATCATATGAAGCCTAGGAGTTAGAGACTAGTCTGGCCAACATGCCGAAACCCCATCTTTACTAAAAAGTACAAAAATTAGCCAGGCATAGTGGTGCACATCTGTAATCCCAACTACTTGGGAGGCTGAAGCCCGAGAATCGCTTGAACCCAGGAGGCGGAGGTTGCAGTGAATCGAGATCACGTCACTGCACTCCAGCCTGGGCAACAGAGTGAAGCTGTTTCAGGAGAGAAAAAAAAAGTCAATGCCCTATGTCTATTATATTTGCCTTTTATTGCTTAGACATATGTGCTTTCCTGGTTAATGCTAACTCTTTTTCAGCATTTCTGCCATGCAGCCTTTCTGTTATTCTTTGTGTTTGTGTCTTATTCCCCCTGCTGAATTCCAAATCCTTTATTATTTTTTAATTTTTTGTAGAGACAGAGTCTTGCTATGTTGCCCAGGCTGGTCTCAAATTCCTGGGCTCAAGGGATCTCCCGCTTTGGCCTCCCAAAGTGCTGAGAGATTACAAGCATGAGCCACTGCATCCTGCCCCAAAACCTTTGAGGGTAGAGGAACCATGTATTCTTCATCTTTTCTTTACCACCATGGTGCTTGTCCCAGAGCTTTGCTTTTTTCAAGTGAGCAATAAATTCCTTTTCTTACTTCTTATTCTGTTGACTTTCTATGAATTCTAGGGCTAGGAAAGAACTATGGAAGCTGGTTTAGTTCCATCCTTCTGCCTCAGGGAAGGGCCACATTCAGACTACCTGGGAAAGTCTGGTAAAATGACTGTAGAAAAGGTTTCCACAGCTTCCAATTAACATGTGGCAGTGACTTTAAAGTTTTTTACATGTAGACCTCCTAAAACAATTTTGAAAATCTGTGCCCCCTCATACATTTTAAAATTGATACCTAAAGAAAATTTTTAAGTAGTTGCAGAGAAGGTAATTTCTGGCATATAATTTATTATATACTTATTTCAAGCGTATATTTGTCCAAATTTTAGATTTGCAGGTTAATCCTATTTAGTTTGTACAAATGTCTACCAAATAGCCTAACTGGCAAAAGCCAATCTGCATTGTAAAACCAGTGGACCAAGTTAGACTAAATTTTCTGTCAGAAAAAGTCTGACTTTGTTTTTAAATTCAGATAAAGTTGTTGAATATGTCCTTATCACAACGATCTGTCATATTTTTTAGTTCTCGTTATTAGACAGAAACAGAGTGAAGTTACAGAACCATACTTGTGTTTGTGGTGTGACTGAAACAAGATCAGCGCCCCCTTCATTGAATTTTACCTAGATGCTCTTTCTTTTTGCTCTTCGGTTCTTAGGGAAAAGCCGCTTTTGTGCCTTAGTTTAGAACCCTTATGTTTTTATACCCCTGAGCATTGTACCATGGAAAGAGCTGGGATGAATGACAGGTATGTGTTCTTTCTTTAAAGTGGGAGAAGGGTGATTGTGAAAATAGAGGCAGTTCAATTTTAAGAAAGAGAACATTAGAGACATTGGCTCTCTTAATACTATTAGCGCCCAGAACTCCCTCGAAAGTTTTTGTATACTACTTGGAGGTATGTGTGCTCCAGTATGAAGACTGCTATTCTAGAATTATTTAGATCTCATGTCTAAGATGCCTTAACTGGAAATTCCTTTGTTATTCTTAGTAAGCTCCTAATTTCTCATTCATTGTTTTTACTAATACATTTTTTTTTTTACAAGGCTTTTTAGGTTTTATAAGTGTATAAACTTCTCCTCTTAGCTTTTGTCTAATCCATAATCTCCCACAAAATTTGTTAAATTGCATCATGAGACCAGCCCTCCCTCCCTCCTGCACCTTGATTATTCCTGGGCTGGCCCTCTTGTTATGCTTCAGCTTGTTTTCTATCATGTTTCTCTTTCTCTCTCCTTTATAGCTCATGCTGCACAGGTCACTTGTGTTGCTGCCTCTCCTCACAAGGACTCTGTGTTTCTTTCATGCAGCGAGGTAAGAGATAGCTCCTTCTTCCCTAAACACA